AAAACGCTGTTCCGCAGGTACATCCCGACGGATCCCAGATGTGGGGCGAGATCAAGGACACTCGGCATCAAGTGGTGTCGTTCAACCCCAAGGAGTGGCACTGCACCTGTCCTTGGGAAGGGAACCGGATTCTGATGACTTGTTTCGTGAGTCGAGGATGGGGCCAGGCTAGTGAAGAGGTTGAACAGGCGGTGGTTGAGGCAGGCTTTCGCATGCAAGGTGAAGAGAATGCGTCAGTGGTTAATGGTGCGAAACCCTGGAAGGTGAAATTTCGAAGCGAGCGAGAGAGAGAGGATGAGAGGATAAAAAGGCAACTGTACCTTCTTCATTCCGCAACGGGACACGGAAGCATGCGCCACCTTTACCAGGCTCTTCGTAGGAGGAATGCAAGCGCTCGAGTGTTGGAACTTGCGAAAACCTTTACCTGTCCCATTTGTTCTGAAAAGCAACGGGTGTCACCTCAACGAGTTGCCTCCCTGGAGCCCTTGCCCCCCAAGTGGGCGACCATTTCAGCCGATATTGGACACTGGTTGAACCCCCACACGGGGGAACATGTTGCGTTCATGGTGATCATTGACGAGGGGTCTAGGTATAGGGTGGCACGAGTGTTAGCCCGAGGCCTCAAGCAAACTCCTTCGGCAGCCACGTGCTTGAACTACCTGCGCGAAGGATGGACGCAGTACTTTGGGAATCCGAGCTGTTTACGGCTCGACCCCGCAGGCTCGTTCCGGAGCCAGGCTGTCGTAGAGTTTTGCGATAGGAATGGGATTTTTCTGGATATTATTCCAGGTGAGGCTCACTGGCAAATCGGGGCCTGTGAGCAAGCAGTGCAGGGCCTCAAAGAAGTCATGACGAGCATGAGCCAAGAAGACCCAGAAGTCTCTACGGAGGAACTGCTGTCAACCGCAGTTCGGACCTTCAACCAGCGAGATATGATCCGGGGTTTTTCGCCTCTACAACACGCCTTTGGAAGAGGTGTGGACGTGACGGGACGCCTCATAGATGCCGCCAGTGGAAGACCAGACGAGTTCCAGGTGGAGAATCCCGAGGGAGAGTTCAGTCGGAACGTGGCCCGACAGGTGGCCGCCGAACAGGCCCATAGCGAGTGGCAAGCCAAACAAAGGTTGGCTAGAGCACAGAACTCCCGGAGCCGGAAGGTCCAGACCTTTTACCCGGGCGAGCTCGTCTATTTCTGGCGGTGCCAGGAATCCGGACGTTCCCGGAACTCACCTGGAAGCAAGAAGGGCCGCTTTGTTGGACCAGCGAGAATCCTCGCCATGGAGACCCGCCGGGACGTCGGCGGAGAGTATCGTCCGGGCAGTGCTATCTGACTAGTCATCGAGGCCATCACCGAGGACCCGAAGGTTCCTTGGACCTTCACCCGAGTTGCCAAGGAGATTGGAGGCAGTCAGTTTGAAGACTTGACCGGCCAGGCGCCAGACGATCGAGAATGGCATCGAGCACAAGACCTCCTGGAGGAGGAGCCGCCGGTTCGGCGGCGCCTACGAGGCAAGCGAGGGGCGCAAGAGCCCGCGCCCATGGAGGAGCCAGAAGACCAGGAGCCACCACCGCAGCGGCCCCGGCACCAAGAGGCGCAGCCCAGTGGCCACGCAGGTGCCTGTTGGTGGAATGACATCCAAGAGGATCATTGGGGTGCCGAGAGCGCGTGGTGGCAAGATTCGACCGCAGCCGTGGAGATAGAGATTGAACTTCCGGAGTCCCATCGGGGCTTCAAGCGAGCCACTGCACATCTTCCTAGCTTCTTTGTGGGAGCTCTGAAGAAGAGAGCGATAGAGGTCAATGAAAGGAAACTGAGTCCAGAGGAGCGAGAGAAGTTCAAGAATGCTAAGCTCGCCGAAGTCAAGAATTTTATTGCTGCTGAAGCCTTTGAGGCACTTCCAGAGTCCCTGAAGCCAGATCGGTCCACCGCCATAGGTATGAGGTGGATACTTACATGGAAGACATTGGACAATGGGGACAAGAAGGCGAAGGCCCGGGCCGTGCTGCTGGGATACCAAGACCCGAGCTACGAACATCGGGCTACCACGAGCCCGGTTATGTCTCGATCTACCAGACAGTTTGTGCTCCAGATGGCGGCAAACCGCCGCTGGAAGGTGTACAAAGGGGATGTGTCGGGGGCGTTCCTCCAGGGACGACCCTACCCGGGAGACCTTTTCTGTACGCCTTGCGATGAGATCTGCGACGCCATGTCTATCCCCCGGGGATCAGTGACCAAGCTGAAGAAGGCTTGTTACGGCCTTGTGGACGCGCCATTGGAGTGGTATAAGACGGTTTCCGATTATCTCTTGAGTTTAGGCTTGGAGAGAGCCTGGTCAGATCCTTGTTTGTGGCTTTGGAGGCCCCAGGGCGAGCTACGCGGCGTTGTGTCGGGTCACGTCGACGACTTCTTGTTTGGAGGTTCAGAGAGTGATGAAGCTTGGCAAAGCATCTTAGAAAAGATCCGAGCAAAGTTCAAATGGGGCGATTGGGAACATGGGGAGTTCACTCAGTGTGGTGTTCAAGTTCGCCAGACGGCTGAAGGTTTCGAGATGAGTCAGGTTCCCTATGTGAGCGAACACTTGCAAGAAATCCCGCTCAGCAGTGCTAGGCGAAGACAAAAGGAAGCCGAAACCAGCCCCAGAGAGAAAACGCAGTTACGAGCGACCTTAGGAGCCCTGTCCTGGCATGCCCAACAGCTTGCCCCACATGTGTCAGCCGAGGTGGGATTGTTGTTATCGGAAGTTTGCAAGAGTTCTGTGAACACCATCATTAAGACCAATCTTCTGGTAGCACACACGAGAGCAAAGAAAGACCATGTGATGAAAATCCACGCCTTCGATCCTCAGGAGCAGTTGTGCATGTACGCTTGGGTAGACGCAGGAAGCCAGAACCGCCACGACGGCGGATCCACACAAGGTGTCTTCATAGGCATGAGCACAATCGGGCTACGGGAAGGGGAAATCCGTGAAGTGACACCCCTGTATTGGGGTAGTCACAAGATCGACCGTGCCTGTCGCAGTCCTGGGGCTGCGGAGACTCAGGCAGCAGTCAACGGAGAGGATGCCCTCTTCTATCTGAGGTACCAGTGGAGTGAAATGATGTACGGAGGTATTAACGTCAAGGACGCGGTATCAGCTGTGAGGAAGGTGCCGGCCTGTTTGATTTCAGACAGCAGAAATGTTTTCGACAAGTTGAGCACTGAGGTTCTGACAATTAAGGGCGCTGAGAAGCGTTCGAACATTGAGCTGATAGCCATTAAAGCTGCGCAACAAGAAACCCAACTTGAGGTCAGATGGGTCCACAGCGAGGCTCAGTTAGCGAACGGCCTGACAAAGGCCGGAGCAGCTAAGGAACTGGAGCTCTACTACAAGATGGGGCATCGGTGGAAGATCGTCGATGATCCAGAGATGAAGTCGGCACGTCGTCGACGTCAAGATGGCATGGCACCGCTGGAAGATGGCAGTGCAGTTAAAGGAACTGAAAATAGCGAGAGTCCTAAAAGTCACTAAACCGGGAGGTGGAGCTGATGCAAAAGATTTCAGCTTTTGAGGCTGCTTCGACTCACGAAGTGTGTCTTGCAGCAATCGCATGTGCAGCTACGAAGCTTCAAGAGTCCGAAGGGAAAGTTAGAGATCCGCGTGAGCAATAGCAGCGTTCGCCCCTGCTTTCCACACGTGTACTTCCTTGAGGAACCTCTGAGCTGGAAGCATTGAGCAGTCTTGGGCTACCGCACTTGCACGGTTTAGGGTTTAGGGTTTAGGGTTTTGGGGATCCTATGATATTTCGAGGTGTATTTCGTAATCAAGGGATGTTGGAGTCTCTGGGGAGTCAAGAGGAAGAAGGAAGCAAGGGACAGAGCAAGTGCACGAAGGAGGGAGGGGAAGGAAAAAGGCAGGCATGTGCTTCTCATGGTGTAGGCCCAGGTGGAACCAGTTTCACGCGGCTCGCGGTATTTACGAGCTGTAGACCCTAAACCCCAGAAGCCCTTTGAAAAACCCTATGTAGATCCTTAAGCCCCGGAAACGCTTCAGCTCCTGAACTTTAGTCTTTCGAGTCCTTCATCTGCGCGGCTCAGGACGGAGGGCGCCGGCTTGCCACTCTTCCCGATTACGGCGCACGTCTTCGAACAGACCAGTGCCTGTGTTGATTGTAAGAGCCTTAAAGATTAGAGCATGGTTCCTTTAAGGGTTCTTCAAAAGGTTCTAGAAGGGTTCCTACCCGGGCCACGAAGCAGGTACGAAGGCCTAGGTCTCAAAGCTTCTGATGCAGAAGTACTTGGAGGTAGTTATAAGTAGTGCTATAAGTCCCCTAATATAGGTTATAAGTATAGTTACCCTACTTAGAACCCCTCTTATAACTACCCGTGAACCTCCAAGTACAGGCAGCTCGAGAAGGCTTAGCAAAGGAATCTGTTATCCTGAGCCCTAAACCCTGAACCCCAGACTCGAAACCCCTCACACCGAAGCCCCTTTACTGAAACCTGCAAAAGCTCCTCAGAGGGCTTCTTCAAGGGAACCTTAACGAATTTGTTGATGGTCTTCTAGGAGGAACCCACGGCCCAAGGGAGCTACATATGGCTGCATATGGGTGTTTGTCAAAATTGTGATACCTTTTTGAATACCCTAAATATTAGGTGCCCTATTATAACCAGGACCCACAAAGGGACCATAATTTTGACAACCACCTATATGCATCAAGCTTCCACGGGGTATCTATCAGGGTCTGTAAGGGGCTGCAAGGGGTCAAGACCTGTTGTAGCATGGAAAGCCCCAGACATAGCTCTTGACAAAGGAACAGATATATCACGCTTCTGAGTGTGATTCTGGGAATATTGATGCACTCTATCGAGTCTGGGTGCTTAGGAGGGATTGGGGTTTGGGACTGCGGGCCTCACGGCTGCAGGACTTTAGGGTCTTTGGGGTTTGGGAATTTTGAATTTGAGGGGTTTAGAGGCTTAGGGCTTTCGGGGCTCATAGTCACCGTTACCTTCGAGTCGGAGTTCAGCGAGGAAGGCGGGGGGGGGGGGGGGGGAGAATCAGTACCAGAAAAAGGAGCCCAGATGCATTTCCATCTCGCAAGCCTAAGATGTCGGTGTGCATCGCATCCTCCAGGAGAGGTAAGCTAATGTCCCACCATTTCTTCTCATCGTCCCAGGAAGGGCGCAAGGCGCAGTCCACAAGTTGTAAGCCGTCCATCTTCCCATGTAGCAGGTGCTTCAGTATCGATGGATTCGGGGCCGCAGTGGCTGCAATGCTCTTCCCTGCAAAGATGGACCCAGCACCTGGGTAAGGAATAAAGTTAAGTTACCGTAATAAAGAAACCGTATTGTTTACTGCAGATCCCAATTATGGCAACTTAAGTTAAAAACCTTAACAAGAACCCAAGCACCTTGGCCAAGGAAGATCAGGTCGCCTTCCTTCACACGTTGCAGAATCTTCTTCCCGAGGCTCGGAGCAAACTTCGTGTAGACGTATGTGAGGAAATCTGCGTTACCAGATGGGACCACGACGACGTCCACAGCATCGATTTGCTCTTCAAGGACTTTGAGACATGGATCGGAGGTATCCAACCTAGGTTCTTAAGGAACTTAATCTAGGTTACCATAATAAAATAATATGGTTTCTTTATTATGGCAACTTCAAATTAAATCCCTGAAAAAGAACCGAGCAACTCCATCGATACTTCCGGAGCCTTGCCTTCTGACTGAAGTTGGAACAGGGAATTCTTCTGCTCGCCGGTTGCACACCGGTCGAACGCGGAGACGTGGGTGATTTCGTTAAGGCCCAGCTGTCGCAACGCGGCATCGGCGCTGACGACATCACCCGGGAGGAAGCCTTTGAAGTCCTTCACAGCATGTCAGGACGGAAAATGGAAATGGGGGCTTAGGGTTTAGGGTTTACGGGTTCAGGCTTTAGGGTTAGGGGTTTAGGGTTTAGGGCTGTAAGCAGGCAAGTAGGCACGACTTAAGGATGCAAACATATAGGAGCCTACCTATGCCGGCAGCGCCGTCCTCTGTCGCTGCCGTCACAGCCGTGAGCGGCGTCATCGACGCAGACCGCACATAGTTCAGACCGGCCGGGCTTGCGAAGCCATGCCTGGAGGCGTCCCAGAAGTCTGTGCTCAAATAAGCACCATCGTCCAAAGACAGCACCTGCAAGGGAAAGCACAGCAAGACAGAACAGGAAAGTTTGTGGCTCCACTTGCTCAATATGCTTGGCGGCTACCAAGGGAAAAAAGAACCGCATGAAGCATACAACGAACAAAGCCCCCGAAGACCCCTTTGGCTTTCCTCGCAACAGCGGAGCCCCTCCGCCCCTACCCCCAACAAAAGCAAAAGTAGACCAAAACGCCCTAGAACTGAAACGGCGCACCTGAAGTGCCGGAAACAGATCTGCATGGGACTCAGTAGAAGGCAAGCGCCGAAGCAGGCTCTTCAACTCCTCCTCGCGAGTTGAGGGCTTAGGGTTTAGGATTTCGTGTTTAGGGTTTGGTTTTGGTTTTTTTTGAAGGCCTTTCTCCTCCTGCCCGATCTGTCCTAGAAGGCCTTTTGGCCATGCGACTTTGACACCTACATCTGCGTCTCCAGACCTCCAGAGACCGCCAAGTACTGAAGCTCTACCATCTCTCGTACCTCTGACCCATGTAGCATCTGTATGGTTTCGAGCGACAGCGTGCCTGCCATCCAGCGACTGAAGAGTTGCTCCACTTCATCCATCGTAAGTTCCGTACACTCGAAGCGCTCTCCAGTGCTAGCAGACGTTCCACACCCCTCAACCCAGGCTAGGGTTTGGGGGGCCTTATAATCCTTGTAACACTCTTCCTCAAGCATCCCTAGCACGCAACATGGAAGTCTGCCCTTGCAGCCTAGTCTCCCGTGTTAAGGCGAAGCCCTCAACCCCTAAAACCACAAATCGCTAATCCTAACCTTAGGGTTTTTTTGTGAACGCCTTTTTCCATCTGCTCATAGAGATCCACAGGAGTCCGGAACGTCGCAGACGAGGGTTTAGGGCTTAGGGTTTACCCTGTAGAGTAGGGTCTCCTTGGCGGCGTCGTTGTCCAAGCTTGAGCTTGCCAGCAGTACTGGACCAGCTGCCTATCTCAGCAAGAAAAAGGGAAGGTTCGCAGCAGTAGCACTAGAAACAGCAGTAGTGGTAGTAGTAGTCGTAGTTAGTAGCCGTAGTAGACGCAGTAGTCGAAGCAGTCGCAGTAGTCGTAGTCGTCGTAGTAGTCGTAGTAGCAGTAGTAGTGAGTGGTAGTAGCAGTAGTTGCAGCAGCAGCAAGAAGAGTGGTAGTGGTAGTGTTATCGGTAGCGGTAGTGGTAGCGGTGGTGGTAGCGGTAGCGGTAGCGATAGTGGTAGTTGTAGTTGTAGGGGTAGCGGTAGCGGTAATGGTAGTTGTCGTCGTCGGTCGTGTTGATCTAGAAATGAACACCAATGCTTACCAGCCGATTATCTATCACAGCTGTAGTGGTAGCAGCAGCAACAGAGACCATGAGCGTACGAATCTGAAAACGCACAACGACAACACGGAGAATAACAGTCAAAGCATGAGCAGCTGGATTCTGAAATAGTGCCCCTTACTTTCGAAAACGCCCAGATGATATAAACACGAGGCCACCGACTTGAGAAGTTGAAGATGGTAGAGGAACTTTGGGCTGGGACTTGATGCTTTGGGTAAGAAGTCATAGCAACTGTGACAAGTTGGACCACTAGGCCTGCCATCTGAAGTGAGATCACCCCACCTTTAAATTCAAGACAACCGCTAACTGCTGAAGTGCAGTCCTTGCTTCCACGTTTCCACACACCCGCAGACAAAACCACAACATCTTCAACCGTGAGATGTACACACACACACACAGACAGTGGGTCCTGCTTCCGCTGGCTGCGCAACCCTCAGCGAAAAACCCGAAACACATAGCCGGGAAGCAAGATACCCTGGACTCCGCCTCACACCGGTCCAACACCAACCGACACTCTCCTGAGCCTCATATCAACCCTGAGGCCTTCAACTGTAGGATTTAGGGTTTGGGGGACCGTTCGACCTCGAACTCGAACCCATCAACGACAAAGCTCCCTAAACTAGCCCCAAGCCCCAAAGGTTTAGGGGTGAGGGTTTAGGGTTCACGGTTTTCGAATCAACCCAAGACGATGGAAAAATGCTCCGTTCAGCCCTAAGCCCTGAACCCTAAGGCCCTCCAGAAAGGAGCCTGGCACTCAGGGTTCGGAAGCTGCTCGCCGAAGTGAAAGCTCTCGGGAGAGTAGCTTCTGTATGCCGCTTTGAAGACCTGCTCCATCCTTGGCATACGAAGAATCGTGAACGAGTTTACTGTAAGGTTTAAGGGGTAGGGTTTTGGGTGCCTAGAAAAACCTCAGGTTTAACGCGCTGGGTTTAGAGCTTGGGGCGTAGGATGATTTCGAACTTTGGCATCAAAGTGCTCGAGCACCGAACCTTACCTGAAGACGCGCCCCGAAACTCAAACGAGGCCTCTTGAAGAAGGCACCCTGGTCTTAAGACTTCCCAGGCGTCTAAATTATGATCCTCTTAGACCAATCACTATAAAACTAAGGTCTTAAGCAACCCCTGGGTTGATCTTACAACAAAGGAGTAATGACTCCCACAGATACCATGAGCAATGAATAACGATTCCAATGAAACCATGGGCTTGAGGGGTGTTCGGTTGATGATATAAATCCTGCATTACTTTAAGGACCCTAGACTATGGGAATTATGGTATGTTCCTTATTATGGGTAATGCCTCCTAAACCCTAAACCCCTGAACCCCTAAGCCTCTAAACCCTAAACCCCTAAATCCCAAAGCCCCTAAACCCCTAAATCCCAAAGCCCCCTAAACCCTGAACCCTAAACCCTAAGCCCCTAAACCCCTAAATCCTAAACCCTAAGCCCTTAAACCCCAAAACCCCTAAACCCCATACCCTTTAAAGGAACCTTTATAACTACGGTCGATGATGTATAAATCCTGCATTACCCCTAATAAGGAATCTACCATAATTCCCATAGGTTCGGGCCATTAAGGTAATGCAGGATGTATATCATCAACCTAGACCCTAAACCCTAAAACCCTGCAGATCCCTCAAAGGAACCCTTGAAGGTACCCCTTATTGATCCCTTTAACGGAGCCCTAGGGATTTATATTATCAACCGTACCCCTTTTCCATGGGACTTGAGGGGCCGAGCTTCCGACTCGCGTGCTTGTCGTGGTGAAGCAAGGACTTCGGGTCGGTCAGCTCCGTCTTCCCGGTCATGCCGCAACATCCCTGTGTTTTAGGGCTTAGGGGTTTGGGGGTTTTAGGGTTTAGGGGTTTAGGGTTTAGGGGTTTAGGGGTTTAGGGTTTAGGGGTTTAGCGGTTTAGGGTTTGGGGGTTCAGGGGTTTAAGGTTGAGGGTTTTGCGGCTTCGTGGTTTATGGGTTTAGGGGTTTAGGGGTTTAGGGTTTAGGGCTTAGGGTCAGGGTTTAGAGGCTTTGGGGTTTAAGGTCATATAAGGACTCTTATTTTGGGGACCCTCACAAAGTACTCTAAAAAGTAGGATCCATATTATAAGGACCCCAAAGTAGGGTTCAGGGGGTCAGGGGTCTAGATAGGTTTTTGACTTTATGATTCATAATTGTTCGTTTGGTGTCCAGGGTTTGGTGATGGGCGATGGGTTTCCGGCTCAGTCTTTCTGCAAATTGAAACGACGCACATTCATAGGGGTGTCTGCATGATGAGGGGACTTTGGCCCATTGCTGCGAGCACCTGGCATTCAAAGACGGCTACCGGCGGCATCACACAAGACGTGACTAATTACACTTTGCAACGATGCGAGCGTGCTTGCGTAATGTGCAACCACCTTGAACTCTAGCATACCGCTGAAGGCTTGGAAAGCACTAAACGCGGATCAAGAGCCCTGCAGACACAACCCGAATCGGAATCCGTAACCCCGAACCCGACCCTCAACCCGGCGGATCCCGTCCTGATTGCAAAACAAGCCCTCGCCATTGGCCGCCAGCACCACAGTTTCGCCCGTCGCCCTTGCATAGACCTGCACCAGGAATCGAGACGATCCGGCTATTTCTGGAATCAGGGTTAAGCGGGTTTAGGGTTTAGGAGAAGAGGAGGTTCATGGTTGAAGATTCTCGGCTCGTGGGATTTCTGGACGACGAACGATTTCGCCATGATCCGCACTGATCTTCTGATTCTTTCGACTTGCAACAGCTTAGCTTGTCGTCGCGCTCTTTTTCATGACGCTTCTCACTGCCTTAAGACATGCAACTGACGAGGGCCCTAAACCCTACACCCTAAACCCTAAACCCTGAACCCTAAACCCTAAACCCTGAACCCTGAACCCTAAACTCTAAACCCTAAACGGTTTGGAAGGAATACGACTGGATCGACACAATCTACAGTTCCGGCTTGGACTCTCGAAGATTTCTGCCTTCAGTGCTTGGGGCTCTGTGGGTACGGTTGATGATATGAATCCCTAGGGTTCCTTTAAAGGGATCTATAAGGGTACCTTTAAGGGCTCCTTTAAGGGACCTATAGGGTCTTAGGGTTTAGGGTTTAGGGTCTAGGTCAGGTTGATGATAGAAATCCTGCAGTTCCTTAAGGAACCAGAATTATGGGAATTATGTTATCTAAGTTCTAAAGGTATGTGTTAGTCATTAGGCAAAAAGCTGACGCCATTGACTTTGGCAGCTGACGACAAAGGAACAAGGCCATGACGACGGGTGGACGAGGCCACGACGACGGTGGACGACGACAGGACTGCGACGCGACGACGACGGCACAACGACGCGACGACGACAGGACAACGATGCGACGACGACACTACAACGACACGACGACGACGGAGCGACGACCACGTCATCGCGCGCCTGTCGTGCATCCGCCACGCGAGCGTCATCTGTCCGTCGCACGCCGGCCGTCCAGCCGTCAAAAGGCCGAAATAAGGCATATTTCGGCCTTATGACGGACGCGCGGCGGCTGCGCGGCGGACAGATGACGGATGCGCGACGGAGGTGCGGCGGACGCGCGGCGGGCCGCACATCCGTTACGCATCCGTTGTCTGTCCGTCGCGCGCCCGCCGTCCATCCGTCATAAGGCCGAATTAAGGCCTATTTCGGCCTTATGACGGACGCGCGGCGGCTGCGCGGCGGACAGATGACGCATGCGCGACGGAGGTGCGGCGGACGCGCGGCGGGCCGCACATCCGTCACGCATCCGTCGTCTGTCCGCCGCGCGCCCGCCGTCCATCCGTCATAAGGCCGAAATAAGCCATATTTCGGCCTTATGACGGCTGCGCGGCGTCTGCGCGGCGGACAGACGACGGACGCGCGGCGGACGGGCGACCGTCGCGCATCCGTCGTCTGTCCGCCGCGCAACCGCCGTCCATCCGTCATAAGGCTTATTCCGGCCTTATGACGGACGCGCGGCGGCTGCGCGGCGGACAGATGACGGATGCGCGACGGAGGTGCGGCGGACGCGCGGCGGGCCGCCACACATCCGTTACGCATCGGTCGTCTGTCCGCCGCGCTCCCGCCGTCCATCCGTCATAAGGCCGGCCATATGACGGCTGCGCGGCGGACAGACGACGGACACGCGGCGGACGGGCGACCGTCGCGCATCCGTCGTCTGTCCGTCCCGCGCCCACCGTCCATCCGTCATAAGGCCGAAATAAGCCTTATTTCGGCCTTATGACGGATGGAGCGTGGGCGCGGGACGGACAGACGACACTGGCGCAGCGGATGCACAACAGACGCGCGACGGACGCACTTCGGTCGTCCGTCTATTGCGCGTCCGTCGCACTGCCGTCGCGCCTCCGCCGCACATCCGTCGTCTGTCCGCCGCGCAGCTTCCGTCCATCCGTCATAAAGCCCAAATATGTAAGCGTTGCCAAAGCGTCTTCGCATCGTCGGCGTGTCGTCGCAAGGTGGTCAGGTCGTTGTTTTCGTTGCCGTCGCTGTCGTGTCCATTTCGCGCAGCATCGTCGCATGCTCGTCGCGCCGTCGTCGCATTGTCGTCGCACCGTCGTGGCATCGTTGTCGCATCGTCGTCGCGTTGTCGCTGTGTCGTCGTCACACCGCCGCCGGACCGTTGTCGCATCGTCGCCGTGCCGGCGTCGCAACGTCGTCGTGTTGTCAGTTTCCTGGCCGTCAAGACCCCTCCTCTTATACTAGAAACCATACTCCACATGTCTTCAGAACTTAGATAAGAATTATGGTATATTTCTTATTGTGGCTAGTGCAGGATTTATATCATCAACCGTAGAAACCCAAAATACGACAGGCGAAGGGTTGGAATGCTACAAAAACTTACTGTGGTTTTCTCAACCTGGAAACTCTGCAAGCGAACTTAACCTGGCATACAATGCGCTGGTATTTCTGCGCCGTGACTTCTTGCAGAGTCTTCTGGATTCGGGAATGTGGGCACAGAGGTCGCGAGGCTGGAAGCCTCAAGGCCTAACGGTACTTTGTGCAGGCCAGGCCTTGCGAACCTAAACCCTAAACCCTCAACCCCTAAACCCTAAACCCTAAACCCTCAACCCCTAAACCGCTACCCTAAACACAAAGCTGCGAACGAGCCAGGGCCCGACATGCCCCGTCGACGTTTCTTTGGGACGAAAGTCGCATGCTTTTTGGGGGTCCCTTTTACAAGGGTGCCGTACTATTTTGGGGGCCTAGAAAGGGGCCGTAATTTAGAGAACTAATTACGTAGCAGAAGACAGAAAGTTGGAACATCGTTATCCTGATGTCCTTAAGGAGAAGTATAGTGAATCCCATCACTCATCATCCTAAATCCACGTTGCAACTTTCCGGGGCTCGCTATAAGCCCCTGAGGTGAAATTAGGAGAAGCCAGGCCTTTGCCGGAATATCCCAGAGGTGGTCGTGGATGTGCGGCCGCAGTGCACACTCCCCGGCGAGGGAAAGCCCCGTCGTGTCTCGGTCCAGAAGAACCTCATTAGGGTTTAGGGTTTAGGGCTTAAGCTTTAGGGCTTTTGGTTTAGGGCTTTGGGTTTAGGGAAGTCTGGGCGAAGGAGTTAAAGCTGAGCCTCATCTCTCAAACTTCCCACTTTTATACGGTTGATGATATAAATCCTGCATTACCTTAAGGATACTAGAGTATGGGAATTGTGGTATTTGCCTTATTATGCATAATGCAGGATTTATATCATCAACCGTGCAGCAACCCTTTGACCGATAGATCGAAGAAGCACCTACCAGAAAGTTCACAGTGGGCATTCGGGGCAGGCGGAAGCTCGGCGGTCGGGGTTGACAGAAAGTTTCTGCTTCCTGGTTTGCAGATGGAGACTTCTGCGATTACTGTTTGGGGGATTCGGAAACTCTTCAAACAAGATTCTACTCTTGAAAACGATCTTGCGATGGGAAGCTTGAATCATAGGGACCCCTAGGGGGGTAGGGGGTTCATGGGTAGTTATAAGTGGGGTTATAAGTCCCCATAATATGGGTTCTAAGTATAGTTACCCTACTGATAACGAGACTTATAACTACAGGGGGGGTAGGGGGCCTTACTGCCCGAAGTATGCGTCCTCTACCGCCCCTCCCCCCTACAGTACCCCCCTAAGGGTCCCTATGATTGAACCTTCTTGCCGAATCTTCAACCATGGTCGTCAAGGTTCCACTCCCATGGGGTTTAGGGTCTAGTAGGGGGTTTAGGGTTTAGGATGCAAGGCTGCGGGAACTGTTCTGGGGATCTTCAACGAATCAGTCGTCGGTTTTCGATTCCTGCTCATCTCACGGATGCCTTGAGAATGTCTTGGCGGCAACCTGTTCATGCTCAGCTCGGTTTAGGGTTTAGGGTTTAGGGCTTAAGGTTTAGTGTTTAGGAACCATCGACAAGTTCAACAGCGAAGTGGGCTGGTCGGCGAATGTGGTGCCCAAGCACTGAATGTAGATCCTAAGCGCCAAACCGTATCCTAAACTTGAACCCTGAAGCCTCAACTCCTAAACCGTAACCTTGAACCCCAAACCCTAAACCCCATGCACAAAGCCTCAGGGCCGGAAGAGACGGAGGCAAGTCCGGCTGAAGCATGAACCAAACACTAAAACCCAACCCCCTGAACAATACAACCTTTACAGATTAGAAGGGGCCCCCACCCTGTAATAGTGGTATAATAGGAGTATAATAGGGCCCTAATATAATCCTTATAGTCACTATTACAGGGTGGGGGCAGCTTCTAACCTATACAGTAAACTCAGTAGATCATGAACCCGAAAGTCAAACACTAATATAGGAGCCTGAATAAATACAGCAAATTAGGTTTTTGGGGTCCATTATACTATAATTACAATAAGGAGCCCCTGAAATAGTATTGGTAATTACTTAAGCCCCCTACAGTAAACACGAAGGAAAGCCAAACCCAGACTGGCAGGCGCGAGGAACCGTGGTGAGTGCCGGATTGGGTTCGTATGTCAAGCCAAAGTCTCGGCTGGCCGTCATGGCGCCAGCCGAACGACCCATGTACAACCTCGGGCCCAAAAACAGTGGCGGGTTTAAGGTTAGGGTTTAGGGGTTTTCCGGGTTGGGGGGAGGGGTTGGTGTTGAGGCACAGCTTTGCAGAGTTTTAAAGGTGTTGCGGTGGATTTATAGGTTTGGAGCTAGGAGCTTAGGATTCTGAATCAGAGATATCTACAACTAATTAGCAAAAACATTGCATTCCGGGTCTTCTTGAACCCCTGAACTTCACTGCGAAAACAGACGGGTTCTCGACAGGACAGCTGAGAAACAAGCTGCCCTCCCGAACTCGCTTGGCGATGAGCTCGCCCAGCTCGGGCGCAAACTTCTTCAGCACAAAACCATACCTTCTGTATGGCGACATGGAGGGCTTCAGGGGGTGGTGGACAGAAGTGTAGAGCTGGGATTTAGGTGCCTGGGCAACATCCTGAACCCTGGGCTCTAAACCCAAAGAGGAAAAAGGAGGGACCCCTAACGGGGACGTCCTTATTAGGGGTCCCTCCTTTTACCCTTGGAGAAACAAACAAAACTTTAAGCCCCAGGTGCATGTCCGGGTTCCCACCATTGGCGAAGAGGATGCTAGACTCCTATACTGAACTTAGGACCCTAGCAAAAATTACAATTTTAGCTGTTTCTTAGGGATTATAATAACCAAAGTTTAAAAAGTATTTCTAAGTACCCCTAAGACTCTTCGATGAGCTTCTTGAGAGCCCCGAGGCATGGGGAGCCAGGAATGACGGCCATGGAGACATTGGGGTGTAGGTTCCGCGTCTGCAGGTGGAACAGGGACTTTGCCTGCTCTTTGCTGGCACACATACCGAAGATGGAAACCTTGGTGAATGCACCTGCGCATTGCAGTTAGGGTCTAGGGTCTACGGTTTAGGGTTTAGGAGGATGGCTGTGCTTCCTGATTACATTCGATTACATTTCTCACACTATTCTCGTGACCGCTCCTGTGTTTCTTCTGTTGCTTCACACAACTGTCGCCGCTGCCCCTATCATCTCTTTCAACAGTTGCGATATTCGATGCTGGGCTTCCGTTGGAGTACCGCTGTTCTTCGTCTAGCCTTGTTCGAAGTAGCGGCATCGCGAAAGTACAACTTTCTGAAGAGGGCACATGTGCATAATGCTGCTGCGCTGCCTGTATGCTGTCTTACCACTCTAGTCTGCTGCTACATTTGCATGCGGCTATGACATTGGTGTTTCTGTATGCCTTAAGGTTCTCAAAATCTTGCACGACTGCGTCGAGGGAATTCACAGGTATCCATCCGTACTGTACACTTCCGCCGTCTCACATTCAAACTCCTTTCCCAGGACCAAGATGATAACAAAAGTCCTAAACCCTCCCCGGTAACCAGCCCAAACCCCATCGCCCCAAGATCATAACAAAAATCCTAAACCCTCTCCGGCAACCACCCCAAAACCCCATCGCCAGAAAAGGCACTTGGATCAAAGCCCACTTGGCCGAGTCCGTCGGCTCCTGCGTTGTCGTAAGCCCAGCCGCCGTCCAGACTTCTGAACCCTCCTTGACAAAGGCTGTAAGGTTCAAGGTTGAGGGTTTAGGATTCGTTTAACGCCTGTTTCCACCTAGCAGTTAAGGTCGGCGAAAGCCACAGTTGTGGGAGGCAAGGGTTTAGAGATTACGGTCCAGGGTTGAGGTGTGAGGGATCTAGGGTTTACCGGTCTTTTTCGGTTCTGGAGCTGGGGGCCTTGGACTTAGGCCTTGTGGGTTGTGCCTTCAACCACACTTGACCCAAACGCAAAACCCCCAAACCCAAACCCTAAAGTCCCTAAAGTCCCTAAACCGCCTTCAGCTTAAAACCTATTCTCCTTTTGTTAATCCGACAGCAACAACTCAAAGGTCAATAAAATCCTGAACTGCTCCAGGCCTCCAAAACAGCTCCAAAACCGTAAGCCCCAAAGCCGAAAAGTTCAGAGCCCGGGGTCATTAAAGACTAGGGTTTAGGGTTTTGGGTTTGGGGTTTGGGGTTTAGGGTTTGGGGTTTAGGGTTTAGACTTTCAGCTCCTGTCCAAGACTTCACGTCTTCCGCATCGAAGTTCAGGCATCCGGCAGCAATCTTCCTGTAATTCATGGCCCTGGGATTCCCGAAGCTGGCGACCTGGCCCGCCCGAGCTCTTATTTTTCAAAAAGGGGTTTCGGGTTTAGGGTTTTAGGGGCATATGGGGTTCATGGTTTAGGGGTTTACTCTGAGTTTGCTTGATTAGTCAGTGGGTTTTAGTAAGGCTTTCATGCGGCTTTACAGGTCGCTGTTAAGGTTGTTCGGGGTCCTCCCCTAAGGATCCTCATGTGTGCAACGTGCCATATGTCAACGGTCCTCCATGTGGGTAGTTGTCAAAATTAGGGTCCCTTTTTGGGTCCTTGTTCTAGTCCGGCACCTAATATTTAGGGTTCCCAAACAGGGACCATAATTTTGACAACCACCCATGTGTGGGTAACAGTCTTGACAGGATCATATACAAATTATGAGCATCATCATAACCATCATCACAACTAAACGCATCCTGCCGGCGAGCGTTCGAGTCACTAAAAAAATCTATGCAGCATCTATACTATCTTCAGCGTACGGCGGCCTGATTGTCCCAAAAGCTCTGCTTCAGGAAGGCGGCATCCTCCAGTAGCAGAACTTTCCTGGGGATCAGACATCACCGGTTTAGGTCAGGTAAGTTCCCCCCGACAGCAGAAGGGGGAAGCGTGACCATAACGTCAGGCTCTATGTAATTTCTTGGATTGACTTCTTCAGCGCCTTTCCCGTCCTGCCCCGCCTGACTTTTGCTTTAGGTTTCAAGCTGGGGGGCGTTGGTGTTGTTCAGCAGGCACCTCCGCACAGACCTCCCGACCGTCCCGTGCATGCCCACAACACCCTGAACCCAACATTCCAGACCAAAACCCGAAAACCCCAAAGCCAAAGCAACATCCCAAATGGACCCTCCCAAACCTTTAGACCGCTAAAGCCCCTAATATAGGGGCCTTAATAATTAGAATAGGGTTTGGGGGTATATTATACTATAATTATAGTTAAGAGCCCCCAAAACCCTATTCTAATTAGACCTCCTGCGAAATCGCTTCGAAAAGCCTATGGACCCCTTGGTTTTGAGCCCCCCTAAACCCTAAACCCTAAACCCTGAACCCCTCAACCCCTAAACCCCAAACCCTAAATCCTAAACCCTGAAACCCTAAACCCCTAAACCCTAAACCCTAGACCGACACTCAGAGTCCCAAGGCTCACACCGGAGTACATGTTCTCCCGAGGGTTCGACCGCACAGTCGGCAGCTTCACCACCATGTCTTTGAAGGTTGACATGGCCTCCCAAAGCTCCCAAAACAAGCAGCAAGGGGTTCAGTACGGTTGATGATATAAATCCTGCATGACGCATAATGAGGAATATACCATAACTCCCATAGTCTACGGTCATTGAGGTAATGCAGGATTCATATCATCAACCTTAGGACTATAGGGTTTACGGTTTGGGGACATGTCCTCGCAAACGAATAGCCAGCGGCTCTATAGGACATGGAAGTGCTGTATGAGAGGTTCTGCAAAGGCTCACGGGTGAGGTTTTAGGGTTAAGGGTTCGGCGACACCCTAAACTTCTTCAGAACCTGCGCAGAATCCTCGTGGACCGCCCGTAAAAGGTGTTGGTGGAGGCCCACCGAAACCCTAAACCCTAGATTTGAATCCTAAACCCTGAACCCCTGAACCCCTGAACCCCTAAACCCCTAAACACCTAAACACCCTGAGCCCCAGGGTCGAAGCTGTGGTCTTTCAGTTCGAGCCTCGGGCGTCTCGAGGGCAGTGCTGGACAGGAAGACCAGTGACTTCTTGTCTTTCCTGGGCCGGTCTCGAGGTCAAACACTACACACTAAACCCTAGACGGTACGCCTTTTCGGGTTTGTGGGTGTAGTAGAATTGGAGTTTCAAGGCCGTAATTCCTGACTATTCAGGGTTGAAGGGGCTTGGAGGTTGAGGGGTTTGGGGTTTGGGGGTTTACTTGGACGTCTAAAGAAGAGCTTCCTTGGAGTTTCGGAGTTCAGTGCCGTTCCATTTTCGCTCGTCTTCCGAATTCTGAGCCGCGATCCGAAACCACCAGGAATCAGGACGACACGATTTCGAGTACAGGATTGGGACTTAGGGTTTAGGCTTTAGGGTTTAGGGTTTAGGCTTCTCGGTTTATGCCGGTTTCGGTTCGGGTTTCCGATTTGGTCCAGGGGTTGGGTTTTCAAACTCTCTGCTTGGCGTAAGGTCGGCCGCCAAAGCCCCCACATCCTGAAAGCCTGCTTGCAGGGTCGGCGAGACTTAGTAAGTAGTTTTTTGTAGAGTTATAAGTACCAGAAACCCCAACGAGGATCCCGTTTAGGGTACTTCTCAGTCTATCTTAACCCCAAATAACGTACCTGTTTAAGAACTTATATAGAAATATCACATTAGGGAACCCTAATAAAGGTAGGTTCCTTGGGGTCTGGGTGCTTACTGATTACCTACTTACTAAGCCCCCCGACCTTCCAAGTCTAGGCTCCAAGACCACCGAAAACCTAAAGCAACCCCAACGGAAAAGAGAGCTCCAGGACAGTGCATGAAGAAAACCTCTCCCTCGCCCAAAAAGCATGAACAGAAAACACCAGGTCGAAGAAAACGACAGAGAGAGAGAGAGAGACAACGGAAAACCCAAGCCCCTAAACACTAAACCCTAAACCTAAGAAACTAAAACTTTGAAAGAGAAAACGATCCGTGCAACGTGGCGGCTCTCCCAGCCGGCAATTCACGGGCTCAGGGGAACTCCCGGCACAGCCTGCTTGCTGCTTTGTCAACTGGACAAAGTGTTTGCAGAGGCTTTTTGCACAAAATAAAACTTCATGTCCTAAGTCCCGCAGGGTTGTATAGAGACGCTATAGGCTTTGAAAGAGTTTGTACAAGGCTTGATAGAGCAAACTCTAAGCCTGTGTAGGCATTTCGGCAGTTTGCATGGTTTCGGTCGGTTCTTCCCAAGGTTTCAGTGGTGTTATACTATCGTTGCAGGCGGTTCTGTGAGTTTCACTACTCTATAAGCTCTCTGTGAAGGCTTTGTAGGGGCTTAGGGTTTGAGGGTTTGGGGACTTTGAAAGGAAAGGGATCTTTGGGTCACGGGTTTCAGTATTTGGAGCATGGGGCTTCATGTTGTAAACTGAAGTTTTAACTGATGAAAGAATGCGGGTCACCGGAAACGACATTCAAGAGTCCAAAAACAAGGCCCTAAAATCCCCGGTGCTGCGTAGAGTTCAGAGGCATGTCCCAAGGCCATCCAAACCACGAGCCTGATAGGACCCTTCCGCAATCCTTGCAGAACCCTTGCAAAGCCCATGTAAGTCAAAACCCTCCGGGTTTAGGGATCAGGGCTCCAAAACCCTTGAGCCAATCACCAGAAAAATCCCTCTGCTTTGGATCGCCTCGGTCGAGAAAGCGTTGCGTGAAGGACCGCTCATCCCCTCGCCTCGGTCTGGGGAGAGCCCTTGAAGCGACCATATCCCAGAATTCCGGGAGGATCTAGAAAGTAGGTCCCCTAATTTGGGGCCCTATACTACTAAGGGTACTTCATAGGAACCCCCACTAAAGGATCTACTTTTCGGATTTTTTCGGGGGTCTGGGTACAAAGGGCTTACCTGGAGGATCATGGGACTTAGCAAGGCTCAGGGATCCCTTCAAGGGGTACTACAAGGGTTTAGGGTCTGCTTGGAGGATCATGGGACTTAGTAAGTATGGATATAAGTACCTGAGTTGGGGCTATAAGTAACTAGAGGTATAGATACCCCAATACTAACCTTTCCCACTGAATCCAACGATCCTTTAGCTCCCCACCTGTAATAACCTCTGTCACTAAATCCCATGATCCTTTAAGTCTAAACCCTAAACGCTAAACCCTCTTTAGCAATCCCATGATCCATTAAGTCTAAACCCTAAAACCCTACGGTTGATGATATAAAACCTGCATGACCCATAACAAGGAATATACCATAATTCCCATAGTTTAGCGTCCTTAAGGTAATGCAGGATTTATATCATCAACCAAGGTTATTATTGGGGTAGCTACTCTTTCATACTTACTAAGTCCCATGATCCTTTAAGTAAACCCTAAACCCTAAACCCTCTTTAGCCCAAGGAAAGTGTCTTCTCTGGGCCCGCCATCGGGGCGTAGCGGGCGACGACGGCCAGGGAGAGGGCGCCGAAGGCCAGGAGCCCAAGCGCGTGGTAGCCCAGCTTTCGGCCCTGGCCGGGGCTTTAAGCTTTATAATACTATATAATATAATACTACTGATATTACAAAAAATACTAGGAATACTAATAATGCTCATAATGCTGATAATGCAAATAATGCTGATAGAGTTTAGGGTTTAAGGCTTGGGGCCTAAGGGGCCCCAGGCAACGCAGATCCCTAGCTAAACAGAAACACCAGAGCTTTCATGTAAAGCACGGATAACCGGACCCTTGCTCTCAAGACCCCTAACATACTGAGCGGCACCAAACATCGTAAAATCATCTGTTTCGCAAGCGTTGGATCCGAAAATTAGGGGTACCTTGTTCTGGGGTCCTTATAATAAGGATCCTACTATATTAGGGTGCCCTAAACCCTAAAACCCTAAACTCTAAACCTATTTCCGGCCTGGGGAGCACGGTTGGTGGTTTCCACCATGGTAGGCAGCAGCTGCCCCTGCTCATCGAGGCTGCGTAGCAGGTGCCTCGTCTCCTCCGACGTGTCCGCAAAGGAATCCAGATGGTCCATATCCACGGTCACCATGGCATCGTAGCCAAGGCGCGCCATCAAGGGCTGTGGGGGATCGAACTTAAAGCTTCAAAGCCAGCCTAAACCACAAACCTTTCACCACAAGACCTCCATGTCACGGCTCCTCCTTCGCCGAGAGGGATTTGGGGTCCAGGCTCAGGGTTCAAGGCCAAATAAGCTTAAGATCTTAAGCCTGAACCCCAAAACGTACAAACTTCGTTGTCAGGGCCGGTTATTGGGCTTCGACATCAAAACGCTAAACCCTGGTTGCTTGTGTGGCTGGGTCCTTACTATAACATGAGGTCTTATGTTATGCTATGTCAGACTTTAATATATCATACCATATGGGTGGTTGTCAAAATTATGGCACCTGTTTGGGGACCCTAAGTATTAGGTGCCGTATGATAATAAGGACCCAGAGGGGACCATAATTTTGACAACTACCCATATCTTGCATCAAGGCGTCCTACAGGGCAAACCGGACCGGTCCAGGGCTTCTTCGCCCTGGCCTGGACGGGCGATTTGAGCCGATTGAAACGGAGAGGGACGACGGAGCAATGCAGGCCTCAGGGTTTCGGGTTTCGGGTACAGGGTTTAGGGTACAGGGTTTAGGGTTCAGGGTTTAGGGTGTCGGGCTTAGGGGTAATACTTAAACTTCAAGGTCTAGAGTTCTAAAACGGCTATCCCAAGTAAGGATCTCAGTATTTGGGTCTTCGATGGGGTCCCTTGTTATGCCTTCAATAGGGGTCAGGGGCCTGAGTAATTCGCCTCGGCCCCGGCCGAAGCGGTCAGAGGTTCCTATTCGGATTTCCTTTATTTCCCACCTCTGAATCCCCTCCCATGGAAACGTGTCGATGAGCCCCAAGGTCCGGCGGTGAATTCTCGCCTTCTCCATTTTGGCTTTCTAGGCAGTCCCACCCAATTCCTCCCCCCCCCTCCCCCCCCCTCCCCCCCTCCCCCCCTCCCCCATCTTCCGGCGGCTTCGAGCTTTTGCCACGGTACAAGGTTCAGAAACTGAGACTTGCCACAAAACTTACAGGGTCGGACGTTTGGCATTGAAGGCTTTAAGCAGTACGGTGCAGGGCTCCACGAGTTAACTCTTTGGCGGATTGCGGGCATCGGAGATTCAAGCATCGCTATCGCCCAGCTAGGGGGTATGTCGAATATCAGGCACCGGATTCGGAGATGCAACAAGTTCTCTAAATCAGGCTCCTGTACGCAGACCCCAGGATGATAATTATTTGGCACATGCGTGTGCAGCCGGGCCGAGGCGGGCGACGCGAAGCGTTTCAATTACTTGGAATAGGGGTATGGGGTATATCTTGATTTGATCTTATTAAGGAGCCGTAAGGCAAAGCATTTCTGATTGTTCAGCTTCTGTACGCAGGGTATATTGTAGGGTTTCAGACCTTCAGGGGTTTGAGATATACTCAGGCTTTAGGGGTTTAAGGTTTAGTAGTTCGGGGCTTGCGAGTTAAGGTTTAGAAGGCTAGGAGTTGGAATGTCGCATCAGACAGTTAGTGGCGAACACCACAAAACCATATTCTCGCCAATACCTAGAAACCCAAATATTGTTGAAACCCTACTGCCACGAACCCTGCAAACACCCTATAATTGAGCATAAAAGCCTTCTACACCCCTAGAACAGCGAAAATAATTTCTGAAGCCCAGCAAATGCTTTACCTGTAAAAATAGACACATTCGGCTCTTTCTGTGCCCCTGTTCCTTGCTTTGGGCGTCTGCGTCAACGTAAGGCGCAGAGAATGCATGCCTTTCTTGGAGCTCTCTGGGTGAACCTCCAAGTAGCTCTACAGGCTTGTGCACCCCGTGCTTGGTAAGCAGGCCTTTGTGACCTCGCAAACCTATACAGAAGCAGCAGGATCACAACGCACATTCCTTGATTCAGCTGTACAGGGTCTAGCATGCTGAGAGGTTTCGCAACCATCAGCTCGCCTTCATGTCTGGCTTCATGTGCTTCCTCGTCGCCACGGTAACAGCGAGGGTCACCGAGAAGAGAGCCAGCAGGACCGGAGCGAAGGAGTCGGGGCTCAGGGCAGAGCACACGATCGCACCGCCTCCCCGACCTAGGCCCATGAAGATCGCGGCGGAAGTCATGATGCCGTTGATCGCCTCCGTCGGCACCATCTTCGAGCAGATGCTCAAGGCCAAAGCACGGGCAAAGCCCTGTGTGATGAGCACCGAGACGAGACCGATCGTCAACAGTGATACCTGCAAATTTGGCGAGTCCATGTCAAAGTTGAAGAGGAAGACACAAGAGGCGCAAGCGAGAAGCTCGCCCGCAAGCAAGCCAGGCACATCACCACAAGCCATTGTTCGTATCACTTTCCCCAGGCTCAGGTTGATCACGCCTTCCAGGGCGCAGCCCATCAAGAGGCTGGAAGTGCTCTACTTGGAGGGTTCATGGGCAGTTATAAGTAGGGTTATAAGTAGGGTAACTATGCTTATATCCCATATTAGGGGACTTATAACCCTACTTATAACTACCCCTGAACCTCCAAGTACCCCTACCACCACAGGGGAATCCCAGCCCTGAACACCAAGCCTGCACAGAACCCGGAGATCCCCCGTGGTTCGCTAAGCAAAATCATGCCAAACGACAAGACTACCTTCGATTAAGGAATAGATTCAGGGATAGACATCAATGGTGAAGGGTTTAGGGGTAGGGTTTAGGGCTATAGGGTTTAGGGGTGCAGGCTTTAGGGTTTAGGGGTTTAGCGCTATAGGGTTTAGGGTTCGGGTATAACGGGCCTGCGACCAGCATGATCAAGGCCACAAACCAGGCAGCGCCGGAAATCGACCAGCCAAGGGTGCTCCGAGTCATACTGATGGCGTAGACCTCCACATGGGCTTTTAAGGGTTTTAGGGTTTAGGGTTCAGGGTTTAAGGGTTCAGGGTGTAGGGGCTTAGGGCTTTAAGGGTTTAAGGGTTTAGGGTTGAGGAGTTTAGGATTTGTGTTTTGGGGTTTAGGGTTTTAGGTTATATACCATATAGTACCCCCTTATGCAGAGTTCTGCACCATTCGGGTCCCCTTTAGGATCCTTTGTATAAGGGTGCCGTACTATCTTTGGGACTTCAAATGCCCACATGAGTCGCACTGCAGAGTCGGTGCTGGGGCTTAGGGGTTTCAGGGTTTCGGGTTTAGGAGCATCCCGTGGATCTTGGGGACCGTGTCGTTTTGGGCTGATGGTTTTGTCCGGACATTCCGAGAGCTTCCTTCTTGGAGCTGCTATGCACCCACGACATCGCCACACATCTCCTGCTTGAGATTACTGAGCGATAAACAACCCTGAACACGTGGTCCTTCTAGAAAGGTGCTTTGGTGAAAAGTTGGGCCAAGCGCTAAGCCGAAGCAACCTCACACGGGGCGAACCATCGTACCCCGACCGTGAAAGGAGGAGCGACGACTCTAGTAAAACGTCATACCGTACATTACCGTACCACATCGTACACTATGTGCTATGCCCTAGACCCTAAACCCTACAAAACTTTGTCGGACCTCCACGCCGGTTGTCACAGCACTGGCAACGAAGAGCTGCCAGAAGCAGGCGCAAGCGGCCAGAACCTGGCAGGATAGTAAAGTAGTTTTGGCTTTAGGGTTAGGGTCTAGGGTATAGGGTTTAGGGTGCAGGATAGTATACCTGGAGGTTCAGGGGTAGTGATAAGTAGGGTTATAAGTCCCTTAATATTGGTTATAAGTATAGTTATCCTAATTATAACTGTACTTATAACTACCCATGAACCTCCAAGTAGTGTAGCGTAGCATAGCACAGTACGGTCTGGAAATGGTATAGCACAGTCTACTGAAGAGTACAGTACAGTATAGCACAACATAATACGGTACAGTATAGTACAGTACAATACAGTCCGGTAATACTGTATTACGTACTGGTACTAGGCTGTACTATACTCTTCTAGAGTGTAATATTGTATACTCTAGCATACAATAGTACACTATAGTATACTCCAGTCAACTAAAGCCTGCTTGAGTACAGTACAGTATAATGTAGTATAGTACAGTATTATAGTATAGTATAATCTAGTATAGCATGGTATAGTACAGTAGATAGAGTACAGTACACTCTACTATAGCATCCTTTTTGTACGCTGCTGTGTACTTTAAAATATACTACAGTATACTGTAGTGTAGTGCAACATACCGTAAAATACTGCCGTATACCATCTGCAGCATACTACAGTAAACTATAGAATATTGCATAGTATCATGTAGTCTAGTATGGTGTAGTGTAGCATCGTATGGCATAACTTGTATCCCAAGGAGTCCTCATCATGGTTTAGCATCTCAGGATTCAATTCTTTGTGGCTCTCATGTGCGGGGGTCTTTTCAGGCTTTAGCACGGGGCTGCTTATGTCAAATAAGCCCATGGACATGTTGCCAAGAGACCCTATATCTTCAACCCCAAACGGCCCAAACGCCAAGCCCTCTAGTCCACTCCAATCTAAAGACGTACACCCCAAACCCTACAGAGAACCCTTCTGAATCCGTTTTGACTATGGAACCATGCCCTATGCCCGACAAGCCTAAACTCGAAACCCTAAGCATCCTCAAGTCCCCAAACCCTACTGCTGATGGACAAAATCTTGCCATGACCTTAAGGACCCTAAACTATCGGAATTATGGTAGATTCCTTATATTGGGTCATGCAAGATATCAAAACCCGAAAGAGCTTCCCCCCGGGCCTTTTCGAAGCTCAGGCGTTGCTTCGGACTCCTCGGGCTCCGGAGAGTGCGGCCTGAGGGGAATCGAAAACACTACTACGGCTGATGATATAAATCCTGCATTACCTTAAGGACCCTAAACTATGGGAACTCTGGTATATTCCTTATTATGTGTAATGCAGGATTTGCATCATCAATCCTAAACCCTAAAACCCCACAGATCCCTTAAAGGAACCCTTAAAGGTACCCCTTATAGATCCCTTTAAAGGAAATTTAGGGATTTCTATCATCAACCGTAGGGTTCAGAGTCTGGGGTCTCCGGTCTGGTCCTTTAGGATTGGGCACCTTTAAAGAGATCCACAAGGGTTCTATAGAGGGTTTAGGGTTTAGAGCCGCCGCCGGGAACCCGAACTCAGCCATTTGGGAGTTTCCGAAAATTGGGGGTGCCTTATTTTGGGGTCCTCATAATGGGATCTTACTAATTAGGGGTTGAGAACTGAAGACTGGGATTTGGGGTGTTGGCTTTGAGGACCTACGAAAGCTTTGAATCTTTGAACCCTAACCCTTAAAACCGTTAAAACCTGAACGTTTGAAAGCCAAACTGGCATCAACCCTGAACTCCTCAAGCCCGGAAACGTCTACTCCAAACTGTTAATCTCAACCGCTCTTTTCCTGAAACCCTTTAACCCTAAACTCCAAACTCCCTGAACCCTAAACCCCTGAACCCTAAACTCCAAACTCCCTAAACCCTAAACCCCCTGAACCCTAAACTCCAAACTTCCTGAACCGTTTCTGCTCCTCGACCTGCCCAAATCCTGGCCTTCGGCTGCCACCAAAGCCGGGGCATCTCTGGGGAGATCCTTGAAGAACAGCAAGAGCTTCACCTGAGTTGGGATCCCTCAGTTAAGGCATACATATGGTTCCTCTAAGGAATCTACAAGGGATCTATAGGGCTTAGGAAGAGCTTCACCTGAGCTTAGGGAGCACCGGCCTCGAGGGTTATTGCCCAGAGACTCCAATATCCCTCAATTGAGGAAAATAAAAAAATATAGTAGGATCCCTAATGTGATTTCAGGTCTATTCCTCAGCTAAGCGATAGTAGAGTCTCTGGGTTCATGGTCCAGGATATGGAGGTTGTTCAGGGCCGGGTTGGTATTGGCCTGTCCCTATTTGCAGTTCCTTGCACTGAATCCTAGTACTTCGGATCCCTTTAGGGCTGCCCATCGTCTGAAACTCCCGCGAGCCTCCTTTCAAGGGTTGTGTAGAATGGGGCAGTTTTATACACAGGCGAAGTAGAGGGTCCTACAGAGCTGTCCCAAGGAAAGGTTTTGGAACTGCTGAGGGCTTAAATGATCTTTACAGGATTTATCCAGACCTGTTTACGATTCTATGAGTACTGCGCCTACATACATATGTATGCATTTGTGTATATATGAGTACGCATATGGTTGTCAAGATTAGGGTCCCTTTTTGGGTCCCTACTATAACACGGCACCTATTATTTAGGGTACTCAAAAAGGGACCTTACTTTTGACAACTACCCGTATAACAAACACACATAAGGAAGGCTTTCAGGGTTCCTTTTAAGGGACTTATTTATGTTACCATAAGAGCTTCAGGTTGAAGGCACAGGGCTTAAGATTCCAGCAAAAGGCATCTTAAGGAAAAGATAACGGGCAATAATATACATACAAAAATTTTCTATCTATCTATCTATTATGAGAATATATATATATATATATATATATATATATATATATATGTATTTACCTATTTATATTTATTAGATTTATATGCATATATATATATATATATATGTATATCCTTCCCGTTTATGGTAAGTTCAAACAAGTTCGGTACCAAGAGCCCAGTCGCCGTGAAGAGGAGGTAGAGAGTCGCCATGAACCATCCCGGGATCGTATCCGAATCCAGGACCAGGTTGTTGATCTTGATGAACTTCCTGGGTTCACGACTTAGACTAAGGCCCTCGAAACTACTAGACAAGCGGCATCTCTACAAGATCCTAGTGGAAAGCGCCTACACCCTAAACCTCAAAGCCCTTGACCCTGAACCTTCGAAAGTTAATACCCTTTCAACTTCAACCCTCAAACCGTAAACCCTGAGACCCAAAACCAGGCACCTTCAAAAATCTTCTAAAGTTTCCACCCCTAAGCACTAAATCCATAAAACCCCTGAGACCTCTAAACTTGCCGCTTGGCTTCACGGACACCTCTAACATCGCAGCCAAGGCGGGACCGACTGCACAGCCCAGGGTCAGGCAAGCCGAGAAGTAGAAGAGGATCTCACTCCTCCGGTTCAGGGAGTTAGCATCTTAAGCTGGTTTGTTGTAGATTTTGTGATCTTGGGGTTTAGGATCTCACTCCTCCGGCTCAGTACATAGCGGGCTTCGGGTTTTGGGCTTTGGTGGTTTAATGATTTGGGGTCTATGGTTTAGGAGTTCAGTCCTCCGGTTGGAGCTGAGAGTTTTTTTGGTATAGGTTTAGGGTTTAGGGTTTACTTCCCCCTTAACCCTACTTAAAGGATCATGGGACTTAGTAAGTATGGTTATAAGTACCTTCATTGGGGTTATAAGTAGTTCGAAGTCTAGTTACCCTAATAATAACCTTAGTTACTAAGTCCCATGACCCTTTAAGTAAACCCTAAGACCCCTCTTATAGACCCCTTATAGATCCCTTTTTAAGGAGCCCTTTTATAAACCCCTTATAGATCCCTTTTTAAGGAGCCCTTTTATAGACCCCTTATAGATCCCTTTTTAAGTAATCTCTCCTCCGGTTCAAGCCCACGGTGCGGGACACGTAGATGCCGGGGAGGCTGACGGCAGCGAAGAAGCCCATGAGACCCCTGGCGATCATCATAGGGTTTAGGGTTTAGGGTTTAGGGTTTAGGGTTTAGGGTTTAGGGTTTAGGGTTTAGGGTTTAGGGGTAAGGGGGAGGGGGTATGGGGCCTGAATGCCCATAATAAGGACTTACAAAGAGCCTATTTTAAAAGAGTAGAGTCCCCACCCCCCCTAAGCCCTAAACCCTAAACCCTACCCCCCTACCTGGCGATCAGGAGTGTCCACTTGAATCTCATCAAGCCAGCCAGGGCGTAGAGCACCGAACCCAGCACCTGTGGGTCTAGGTGTTGAGGGTTTTAGGGTTTAGGGGTTTGGGGGTTTAGGTTCTTGTTAAGGGATCTAATCAAAAAGCAGGAACCCAGCACCTAGGTTCTTCCTCGGGTTCTATAGGGGCTTATACGGTTCCTTTAAAGGGATCTGATATAAGTACTATAGTCTCTGCGTAGCCCCTTAATGACAAGGGTACCCTTTTTTTCCGAACTTTCAGTTTTAATAAGGGGCCATAAAACAAAAAGGGCAAAAGGCTACTACTCAACGAACCCAGGCACGGTAAAGAGCGAGGAGAGGATCCAGATGTGCTTGAAAGGCACGCAGGCGAAGAGCTTCTGATTGAACAAGTTGCCGGCGATGCTAAGGATGGGCATCCTTACCGTTGGTTAGTAGGGAATGGAGGAATGGGGTATAATTCTAACTACTATTACTACCATTCTTCCATTCCCTACTAACCAACGGTAAGCATCGCACCAAGCATGATGCCCGCAAAGAGCCGACCGGCACCCAACCTTTCTGCGTAGTCGTTGGCCGTCGGGATGGCAATCACACAGTTGACGGTGGCAAGCACCAGAAAGTAGTGGATTATCACCAAGGAGGCAGTGGGAGGCATGCGGTCCTTATCCTCCGTCTTCTCCGTGGTCGTGGAGGGAGAAGGCTCCTTCTCACAGGGATTAGAACCTTAGCTGAGCAGCCACTTCATCAGCCAGAAAAAACTTGCACTTTCAGTTTAAAAGGTACACCGATCTACAAACTCAGCTACTAATGTGACAAAGGAACCGAAGTCCGAGCAAGTCTCAGTTTCGGTTACGGTGCACGTCATGGTGGTCGTGGCAAATACGTCTCTTTGAAGGCAAGAGAGAGCGACTAAGGGCAGTAAAGTTTGAGCACGACTGGATGCAGCTTGCAAGCTGAAAGGTAGCCAAGAGCCAGTCTTGCTGTCCAAGCAGGTGTGAAGCCCAGATTTGGCCGCTTGCAGAGGCTTTCGATGGAAAATCGAACGTTGTGCATCAACGCATGGTGACCAAGTCGACTTTGAGTGGACTTTCGCAATAGGATACGTCGGCCGAGCACATCATGTCTGCACCACGTCTATGCCGGTGCGCACTTCAGTGTACGTGATAGGGTTTAATGTCCCAAGGTGATAAAGTCTTCTGTTGCTAGTGAAGGTGTTGCAGCAACTCCTGCTTTCGTTCTTTCGTTTTGCTTTGCAGGCGGTAGTGGAGGGTGTCGCAACACTCTCTTCCTTACGCTTAGTCTATGTCGGTGTGCACTTCAAAGCGCGTGACAGGGTTCAACGCCCCAAGGTGATAAAGTCTTCTTTTACTGCTAGTGAAATCTGCTGCGCGAGGTGTTGCAGCCACTTCTGCTTTCGTTCGTTCTTTCTTGTTGCTTTGCAGGCGGCAGTGGAAGGTGCCGCAACACTCTCTTCCTTACGCTTGGCAGCAAGAGGGCGTGACGAACGAAGTGGTGTTCAACGAGTGGATTGGGGCGACTGCTTCACTCCGCAATGACATGCTGCATGACAGGACGGATTACAGCCGCTGTGCTCGCAGAGGCTGTTTTTCGGTGCAGTGGCATTCTCTCCGGGATGACGAGTGGGACATCCTGGCAAAGCCCAGCTTTGAGTTCAGCCGCTTGGACAAATACGGTCTGCAAGCTCATGGTTCGAGAACAAGCACTCCTAGCAAAGGCTTGCAGCTTGCAGTTCAAGGTCTGATCTTTAAGCCTGCATCAGCGACAGTCTTGAAAGCAGTTATAGTAGCACACTGACACGTCTTCACTGCGTGCTTCTGGAAGCCGAGACTGTTGCAAGGCCACACGACTAAACTCAGAATCGAATTACCTTCCTGACATCGCTCGGACCCAACATCGGCCCTGTGGAATGCAAGCTGCTACTAGCACGTTGTGGGCAACTTGGAGCAGCCATAAGTGAACCAATCAGCCCGGTGCAGCGATGAACTACACTGTTATTAGGAACCTGTGGTGATTGTAGTGCCAAACTTTCACCGAAGGCCCACTTTGCAGGCAACGTGCAACTCGGAACAACTGACATCCAACCGCCTACTTGTGACTGTAAGGAGGAAACCTAACACGTAGCCCGAAGACGTCACACCTTAGCTGGGAACGGACAGAGCCGCCATATGCTCAAGTCCTGACCTCAAAACCTTCAGTGCCACGTCTTCAATCGAGTTGGAGTGTTACAGGCCTGCTTCAGCCCTGAACTTAAACCCCATCGAGCAAAAGTGGCCTTCAGTGTCCTTCGTCGGCCGCTGGAAGAGCTGAAAGCCGAAGAAGTGGCCTCCAAGAAAAACCTGTCCAAGCGTTTCATGGTTTATGATCTAGGACGCTGCCTATCAGGGAATCAATCTGAAGCGAATCAAGTACTCTCACTGCCAGGTTATCTCGGTTGTTTTCACCGGATACTGCGGAACAGGCACAGGCCTGGGTCATGCGAGGTGAGCAGCATACCTACAGTATGCAACCTGTATATAAAGAAGTTGAAACCCGATAACTCCACGATAAACTGCTACAATAAATTCATAATGCTGACATCTTGGGCTTATCTTACACCGCTGCTGCTCTCCTGTGTCATCTGATGGCCTGGTCACAGAGGCGCGAGTGATTGGCCGTTTAAGTAAAATAGCTCCATCGCAGCAAAGATCTGTGTATGTGCCTTGCCTTGCCAGGGCTACAGGACAGTACCTGAGCATCATTCGCGCTACTTGCGACATTGCCGGCACCCTTGGCCGCGTGTTGCGGCGGGAACACTCATGCATCATGCGTAGACGACGACTGAGAGCAGTCGCAAGTTCTGAGCAGAGCCCATTGCAAGCTCAAGCTTCGCTGTTATTCAATGCAGCCAGCACAAGTTTGAGTGGCATCAGGCAGCTGCTAATTACTCGAACGGACATGACAACGTTTTTCCAAAAGGAGCTGCATTAGTGGTGGCTCGGTCAGCAGATTTCGCCGACGTTGCATCGACCTGCAGTATTAGCTTGTTCAAATTCGATTGCAGTTTCGACATCTGTTGCTTGACGTCCTGGAGATCGCGTTTCAAGTCCTCGTGAAGGTCCACGGACTGTTGAGAGCCAGAGCTGTCAAGAAGAAGCCAAATCTGACAATTAGACGGTGTAACGAAACCGTGATCATCCCCATGCCAGCCATGCCAGCCAATGGAGGTGGCAATCACGTGCAAGGTACCTTGAGATCGGAGAACAAGTCTCGAGATGTTAAACAAGAGAAAGCCTGCCCAGACGAATGGTGCGGAACAGACCAGTAGGACAGACGGAACACATTGCAGACAGTACTGCTTCTTCTGGTGCTCGAGGTAGCACCGAATTTCGTGAGTGCCCTTGAATGCACTGAGGCAGAAAAAAGGACCCAATGAAATGAACATGGCAGCCTCGAGGAACGGGCAACAGCAAGCGCGCTTGGTGTCTCCCCCTGGTCCAGCTGGAACCTTACCTTTGGCTTCTTGGTGAAGACAGTCTTTCCACTTTGGTTGCACACCATCGAAGCCGTCTCCTGCTTGGCTTTGCGCAGGTCCCTGCACCTTGCCACCACACTCGACAACTGTTTCATGACAATTGCCTTGACCGGCTTGCTGATTCGGCACATCTGGATCATCTGGCCTGACGTCCCCACAAGTTAAAAATAATCTCCAAGGCCGGTTGCTCAACTCCAAAACCATCTTGGCACGAGCGTGCAACAGCAATGTCGACCGCTTCGATCTGTGGCGAGTGTAGCTTTCACTGAGCACAGCTATCAAGATGTTCATAAGGAGGATACTGATGCCCCAACTGATCACGTAGAACAGCCCATGTGTCAAGTGGTAGTTTTGGCCAGGAGTCGGCTCCACCGGCTTCCACGATTGCGTTTCGTTGGCGCGCTCATAGGTGATGTCAAAACCCTCAAACTCGAAGAAGTCGAAATCCCCCAAAAAGGCAAGTCTCATGACCCTCATGAAGGACACGTAAAGGGGCCAAGGTTGGTTCGAGTCTTGCCAGGTGGTCTCCAGATCATAGTGCGCGTGGGTGGCTGCAAGTGTGCAGACTGAAACGATGAAAAGAAACGCGTTTGACTCCCGCACTGCGGCCAGAACAGGAAGTAGGTTCGGCCCCAGCCACGACTCTCCCCGAAGGCTGTATAAGGCCCTCAGCCACACCATGGCAGCAAAGATACCCATCCACGGCTTGTACACCCGGCTGCCGCTGTCAAACCGCCACTGTACTATGGCTATCCACCCGAGACTCAGATACACAACATCTGCGAAATTGTCGAAGTCAAGGAGATGCCAGAATCTCTGCCAGAACATGCTGCAATCACAACAATCCCTGCTGCTGCCGCTGCTGCTGCTGCGGCTGCTGCTGCTGCTGCAACCGCACAACTGCACCATGTACTGCCAAAACTCTTCGACCGTCTTCTTGATATGAAAAATCCATACAGCCGTGAGGCAAGCGCTTTCCCAGTCGACTTCATTGTGGGACGCGTAGGTTGCACAGCACATCAAGGATAGAAGAATGACGGAGCATCCGATCTCGCAGGTCGTGTCGGCCCGTGCTTGCTGCCATGCTGCCAATACAACTGATTCCACTGCATCCGTCTCAAGAATAGCAAGATTTGTGGTATGCACCACCGCCTTTAACATCTCCGGCGAGCAGGCATCTGTGCCTGTCAGCCCTGGCAGAATCTTGAGGGTCGTCTGCTTCTGTGGAAAGTCGAAAAGGTTCTGTTTCTCGAGGTTGACATCACTCTTATGAACCACTTCAACGTCGCCTTCCTTTTTATAGCGCGGTGCAAGAACTACCCGGAGACGTTCATGCGGACCAAGCTTGGACCGCTTCACGTCCACTGCACGCCCGCTTTCTGTGTCATACTGCTTACAGTCTCGAGGCCACATGTGTAGCAGCGTGACAGCCTCCGGCGCATCACTTTCGACCAAGCTGACAAACAGCTGCTTTGTTGCCTTTGCTTTCTTAAGGAAGAGGCTCAGATAGTTTTCTACATCGCCAGATTGCTTCTTCAGGAGAATCTCCAAAATGTCCCAGTGCTCACTTCCTGCCGCAAGGACAGCAGCTGTGGCACCCTTTTTCGTTTCTGCATCGACATCTGCTCTGCATGTCAACAGCTCATCCACAATCCGCTCATGCCCATGCTTTGCTGCCAGGTGGAGCACTGTTTCTCCAGCTGCTGTAGCAGAGCAGGGATCTGCACGCTGGTCAAGGAGCCAATGTGCAGCTTTGTGCTGCCTGGACGTTACTGCATAATGCAGGGCGGTTCGGCCTTCAGTATCTTCTGCATCATAAATTCTGGCATTAGCATTGAACAAAGCATGGACCATCTTCACATCACCTTGCTCAGCAGCAATGCTCAAAATCGTTTTTTCTTGTTTTGTTGTCGCGTTGACATCAGCATGGCTCTCCATCAGGAGCCTCGAAACGTTAAACTGGTTCTCCTTCACTGCATGAGCGAGAACTGTCTCCCCGGTCTCCAGCACATGGTTAGCATCCATCTTCTCCTCTAGTAGCAGCTGCCTTATTTCATCTATGTTTCTGTCGGCTATGGCTGCAGGAGCCACAGGTTTTGGCGGCGTTTGGAAAAAATACGGGATAGAAGCATTTGCATCCCTTTCCGCCTGGGAAGGCTGAGTGATGATTGGGTTGCTATCGAGGTCTGAGTCTGAACGAAGCCTGCGGCCAGATTGCCGTGAGGTTCTAGATCCGGCTCGAATTCTGGTTGTCCTGCTTGGCCTTCCACTTTGTAGCCCATCGACCGCGGCCATGAATGTCCGTGGCCTATGCTCGCACCATTCTGGTGGATGCAGGGCTTGTGCCAAAAACACTGCCGCAAGGTTCAAGTGATGCACGCACTGCTGAGACAACAGTAGAGTGCGACTGACTAGGCTCGCAGCAAACTCTGAACTCCTAACGCTCTCCCCTCAGACCGTGCGTTGCAAGCCTCGCCTTCTCAAACTGAGGGTCGGGGCCCGTGAGCCGATGCTGTGCAGCCAAGGCTGGAGGGACCTGGCGGGAAACAGAGCTTGCAATGCGGGCTCCACTGAAGATGTCAGGAAAGAGAGTGAGTCATGGATTCTGCGAAACAGAGAAAGCGTCCGGACACGTCTCAAGCATCAAGCCAAGGACTCCTCCGATCCTGTCTGGAAGGGAACGCTCTAGGCAGGTACCGGTACCGCAGAGGGCGAACACAGCTGAACCAACCCCCTCTAAAATTCGAGTAAGGGCTCAGGACCGTCGACGTTTGTGATTTCAGTGGACTCACGGCATCCCAAGTGCAGAACAGATGATTCCGACACAGAAGCTGTCTTATGCCCGCCGGATGACCAAAAGCCTCGGACATCAATCTGCAAAGTGGCATGTTTGCTCCATTGCGGTCCGTCTGGCCCACGAGATCGGCGGCACGACGGTGTGTCTTGATCACAACTCCACATGCATGAAACGAAGACATGCATTCCAGCATAGAGCTGGCTCTGTCGTTTACCGCTTCACAACCCTGAGCCATACGACTCCAAAAAAGAAACTCTGGTTTCAATACACCTGCTGTGGCGATGAAACTACTGAGCACATATGGGCCAGGATTAAATATCTTTGACTCTATTGGCAAACCTCCGGGCAAAGGTTTCTGCAAGCCCTAAGCTCCAATGCGTAATCCCGAAACCTGTCCTGGTGCTGTGCTGGCGACCGACGTGTGCAAAGCCTGATGATTCGGGCTTCATGTACACACGGACAGGAAGCTCCGCAGGAAACATACCAGCTACAGCAACGTAACGCAACCAGTCTTGTAGGTATTGGTGATGCTCAGCGAGACAATAACGTCTAGACATCAAAGATGCCTCACAAACCCAAGTCCGAGCTTCATGCTTAGCATCTGCAGGCTAACTGCCTGCCAGCCCTTGCAGCTGCAACTCAAGTATCCTTTTCCACGCACCAGATCTTGAGCTCACCGGCTCAGTACATAATGTTGGCACAACTTACATCAAATAGACAGCACATGGTTTAGGGTTTAGGATTTAGGGTTTGGGGTAGCAGACCTTTTACATCTTCTGCCCACGACCGACAGGCCTCGGGGATGAGAAGCGGCCAGCTCAAGGTGGGATCGTAAATGTTCGACACATGCAGTGGCTGGGCAGATTTCGGGAAGGGACAGCAGAGGGCCAGTGTTGAAGTCTTCGAATCTTCGGGTCCAAGGTGTTGCAGAAGATCTCCGAGAAACATCCGCTCTGGGCCTGGGGCTCCTTTGCTGTGTGCATAGATGACCTACAAAGTCAGCTACCCTAGACCACGAAGGAACCGAAGTCCGAGCAAGTCTCAGTTTCGGTTACAGTGCGCGTCGTGGCCATGGCAAAGACCTCTCTCTCTCCGAAGGCAAAAGAGAGAGCGACTAGGGGCAGTAAGGTTTGAGCACGACTCGCTGCTAGGTTCATGCTGGTTATGCAAAAGCTGCAGTGGAAGCGCAGACACGTCTCAAACAGTGACTGAAAACGGCCTGCATCGTTCAGTCTGCGATTTTTACTTTGAAGCCATCCCGTCGATGATGCCCTCAAGGCTCAAGCGTCAGTTTCTGTGCGCTCGTCAAAACTCAGTGCCGACATCTCCTCTGCAGCCTTGGCTTTGGGAAAGACCTTTTTTCTGTGATGCTGAACACATTATGGATGACTTGTATACATACATCTTCTTCAGCCGTCAGCTTTGAAGAAGATCTTTGCAAAGCGATGTTGCATCGCTTTGACTACATGTCTCAAAGTTGCTACGAAGCAGCCTGTACTTCAGGCATTCTGATTATGACTCTGGTGCACTTCTTGTGAACTCAGAACCAACGCCTCCTTGTCATCCGCCAGATATGGTAGGTCTCGGAGTCGGAGTTTCCGAAAGTAGGCCAGCGACCCAAGTAGGACCCTAGCTGATGGCCCAGTATTCGGACGCTCAAGCCGTCAGATGTACAGACGATCCAGAATCTAGGGTGTAGGGTTTACAATATGGCATCTCTGCGCTAGATATCGCAAGGGGTACCAGTCTTGAACAGCTGTGTGTGAGAGCGTGTCAAACGGCTCTTTCTACTGTGGGACAACGAGCTATGAGGACGCTTTCCCTTAAGGAGAAGCGTCAAAAGTGAAACAAAATCAGACACTGCTTTCATTTCTCTGCCTCGACCTCCTCCACGCAAAGCTTTCGGTAGCCTAGGTCGATCTGCTTGACATGCCTGTTGACTTTCAGTGCATCCAGTAAGGCTGCAGCCCCACGATCCCCAAGGAACCAGTTGTGTTCGAGACCGATCTGCTCTAGAGTCACGTTCGCTTCTAGAGCCTCGGCCAATGCCTCAGCGCCGTCATCGGTGATGCCGTTGAAGCCAAGGTGGATCTGTTCCAAGGTGCTGTTAGCCTTCAAGGCCTCAGCAAAGGCCGAAGCCCCGACGTCACCAATCTTGTTCCTGTCGAGTCGTATCTGCTTCACAGTGCTGTTGAGCTTCAGTGCATTGCCCAAGGCTACAGCACCCTGGTCACCAATGCCACTTCTGCTGATGCTGATCTGTTCTACAGTCTTGGTTGCGCGAAGTGCCTGGGACAAGGCCATAGCTGCTGGATCCCCAAACTTGATTCCGTCAAATTGGATCTGCGTCAGGACGCTGTTGACCTTTAACGCATGAGCCAAAGCCATAGCCCCTTCGTTACCGATGTTCTCGCAAGCAAGTTGGACATGCTTCATGGTGCTGTTGGTCTTCAACATATCGGCAAACTCCCTGGCGCCAGCATAACCGATGCTGCTGGAGACGATGGCGATGTTTTGCAGGGTTCTGTTGGCTTTCAATGCCTCGGCAAAGGTGGAGGCCCCTGAATCACCGATCTTGTCGGCATGGATGTGGAAGTGCTCCACGGTCTTGTTGACTTGCAACACCTCGGCCAAAACCGCAGCTCCGGCGTCATCAATCTGACCGGAGTCCACGTGGACTTGCTTCACAGCGCTATTAATCTTCAGAGCCGCAGCAAAGGACGCAACACTGGATTGATCAAAGCAGCCATGAATGCTGATCGCCTCCACCGTGCTCTGCTCTGCCAGCGCCTCGACCAACACAGCGGACAAAGTCTCACAAACATCCTTGAAATCCAGCTTGATTTTCTTGACGGCGTCGTTCTCGAAGCAGGCGATGGCCAATTCTCTAGTGTAGGGTTTTGCCTGCATGAAAGAGACGTTGATCCGCTTCACTGCGCTGTTCACGAAGAAAGCCCTTGCCAAAGCCGTAGCGCCAGTGCCACAACATTCAGCCAAACTGGTTTTCATGTGCTGCAAGGTGCTATTAACGTGTATCGCATCAGCCAGAGCCACAGCCCCAGCATCACCGATGTCACATGCATTCCATTGAATGTGCTCCACGGTCTTGTTGACTTTCAACGCCTCAGCCAAAGCAGCAGCTCCGGCATCACCGACGTTTGCATTGTCAAGCTGGATCCGTGTCACACTGCCGTTGCCCTTCAATGCCTTTGCAAAGGCTGCAACATCGGATTGACCCATAGGACCGCAAACGCTGATTGCCTCCACTGTGCTGTTTTCCGCCAATGCCTCGACCAAGATTGCCGAGCCAGTCTGAGAAATGTCATTGAAATTCAGCGTGATTTCCTTCACGACATCGTTCTCAAAAGATGCGCTCGCCAAGACTGTGGTTGCGGCATTAACAGCCATCTTCACGAAGGAGACCGTCATTTGCTTGACAACATTGTTGACAAAGAACGCGCTGGTCAAGCTTGCAGCCCCAGCACTACTACCTTCAATCAAGCCAATGTCGATATGTTCAACACTGCTGTTCACTTTTAATGCTTCCGCAAAGGCCACAGAGCCGTCGTCACCAATATTATTGCACGTTTGAGGGTGCTGCTACTCTTCACTGCATTTGCGAAAGCTGTAGCACCAGCATCACCGATGTTGCATGCATCCAAACTGATGTGCTCCACGGTCTTGTTGACTTTCAACGCCTCAGCCAAAGCAGCAGCTCCGGCATCACCGACATTTGCATTGACAAGCTGGATCCGTGTCACACTGCCGTTGCCCTTCAATGCCTTTGCAAAGGCTGCAACATCGGATTGACCCATAGGACCGCAAACGCTGATCGCCTCCACTGTGCTGTTCTCAGCCAATGCCTCGACCAAGATTGCCGAGCCAGTCTGAGAAATGTCATTGAAATTCAGCCTGATTTTCTTCACGACATGGTTCTCAAAAGATGCGCTCGCCAAGACTGTGGTTGCGGCATTAACAGCTATCTTCACGAAGGAGACCTCCATTTGCCTGACAACATTGTTGACAAAGAACGCGCTGGTCAAGCTTGCAGCCCCAGCACTGCTACCTTCAATCAAGCCAATGTCGATATGTTCAATACTGCTGTTCACTTTTAATGCTTCCGCCAAGGCCACAGAGCCGTCGTCACCAATATTATTGCAGGCAAAACTCACACGTTTGAGGGTGCTGCTACTCTTCACTGCAATTGCGAAAGCTGTAGCACCAGCATCACCGATGTCGCATTCATCCAAACCGATGTACTCCACGGTCTTGTTGACTTTCAACGCCTCAGCCAAAGCTGTCGCTCCGGCATCACCGATCTTGTTCCTGTCGAGGTTCAATTCCTTCACGGACTTGTTCCTCTTCAATGCCTTGGCGAACGCCTTGGCCCCAGAAACACCCATGTGGCCGCGAATGCAGACATCTCTCACCTTGTGGTTCTCTTTCAGTGCCTTGGCTAAGATAGCAGCCTCTTTATCAGAGATGCCATGCTGCAGCGTGATACTCGTTCTGAAAACCTTGGACTTGGACATGACTGCCTCTGTCGTTGCATGATCCTCCAGGATGATTCGCAACAATGATACCTGCCATGCTCGGTTGTTGGAGTAGGTTAAGGCGATATCCACATTCCATGCAATTGAAGTTGATGTGCAGCTCCGGAGCAGCCGCTTGAAGAGCAAAGCATAGAGCAGCTGCACCAGCGGAACGATGATCTGGAGGACTACAACAAACCTAGAGCCTCCCTCTAGATGTACATAGGCCAGTGCGGCCAAGCCTTGCGGCCCGGATTCCCATGCGAGGAGCCTCACTTTCCCCGGAAATGTCTGCTTGTAGAGTCCATACAAAACATCCTCCACCCAGGTCGAGATGGAATCTGCGATGCCGTTGGCAAACGTTGCCTTCCGCATCCTGGCCTCGCGCATCGACGAAGCTGGCGCGAATCTGATATCCTTATCCTCCTCCTCCTCCTCCCTCGTCGGGGCACTGTCGAATGGGAATTAGCTTGCGGACAAATGACTCGCGCAATGTTCATCCCTAAGAAGCCACACATAGATGACAGGCAACCAAACCAAGCTTGCAGCTCCAACTATCTTCAGAATCCAATGCTCTGACATGAAACATAACCCAGCGAAGATGACATCTTTCAAAGTATCAAAGCTATCTGCCACAAAGGGTGCCAGTGCAGAAATGCTACCCAGGGTGAATGTGCTACCAGGGTAACGACCAAAATGTCTTGTCACCACAGAGGCCTGCCACAGCAGTTTCAACCCTTGCAACATCAGCAGAATGAGGTACACCTCATAATCGAGTCCATCGGTTTTGGAAAGCCTGCCAGTCATCAAGCTGACGCCAACCACAAACAACGATACCAAATATGCTTGGATGAAGGCTATCGTGATTTGGGTCCTTCCGATTTCTGGCCGTTCGTTCTTTTCATTCGGCAGCTTAGATTCGGGTAGTGGGACGTGCACTTCAACTTGCACCAAAGAAGAATAGGCCGGAGTGCAGCAACCGAAACACTGTGTCATCAACAAGGTGCCCACCAAGCAGATGGCCACCCAGGCTGCCAGAAACAGTGTAAGGAAAAAGTGCATTCTCCCCGTCGTTTTTTTGGACGAAAGCTCTGACAACTCCTCTGCGGTAGGGAACCACTTCGGATTCTCCACAACTGCCGTGGGCGCATGCGCATGGAGCTCCAAGTCACCGGACAAATTGAATGAAAATCCCAGGGTGCCGTTGTGCAGCGTGGTGTTCACACCTCGGTGTTTCCGAAAATTAGGGGTGCCTTATTTTGGGATCCTTGTAATAAGAAGCCTACAATTTACGGTACTATATTAGGGCCCCCTATTTTCAGAAACTCCCACCTGCCAAAGGCACCTTGAGGTCGATGAGTTTGTCAGCATCTTCCACCAGGTCAGGTAGCACCAGGCCACTGAACATCGGCACAAACACGAGCATCGCAAGGTGCATCATGGCTCGATGCTAAGACCTTCTTCGAAGGAGCCTGGTTCTCTAAGCAGGAATGAAGGCGGGGTTAAGCTTCGTCGAGTTAGCCGTCGTGCACTCCGACACAATGGAAGAACGACTTCCGAGTCCTGTTGCAGAGAGCCGAGGCTGCTTGTGCAATCGGATTCGGGCAGTCGGCTCGGCTTAGAGTTTAGGGTTTAGGGGTTTAGGGGAGAAGGTTTTAGGGTAGGTGCTTCGGCGTGCACGAGGCCGCTTCTGGGCGACCAGCAGACAGTACCGCGGACGATCTGACATCAGGGATCTGACATCAAGGTGCAGGGGTTAGGGAACCTTAATTGTCAACGTGACGCCTTCACATCTGTACTCACAACTCCGAGTGCAAGTAGCCTCAGATCGATCAGATCGTAGCGGCCTCTCCAAACCTTCCGAATGGCCGAATGGTAAGCTCTCGTTTCACTTCGCAAGGAAGCGTCTTCTTGCAACGGCAATCGGAACCATTCAACAGATGGTGCATGTTGTAAGTTAGCATATGCGACTAAAGCCAAAAACGCTGCATGCCTCGACATCCTACAGCAACTGATTGTAGCGTCGCCTTTTTGATCTCGCCTTCCCCAGCTGAGATACATCTTGAATGCACGGCTTCGGCGCAGCCATGCAAGACCCCTGACTGAGCAGCTGTAGTCGTGGCTTGGAGGTATAAAGTCATACCCGGGGCACCGGTACAGTGGCGATAATGAGAATACGAAAAGCAGAAAGATTACAAATGTGTAAACAAGATGGCACTACTGATATCTTGGAAATAAAGCTCAGCAGCAGAATAAGAACCATCATCACAAGTGCAAGTGCAATTGGAATAAAAGCAGCTATACGAAATACTACCATGTAGTGTACGACAAGACGTGTATGGATATGAACCTGAACACGAGGAACATCAACTGCAAGAAACACAGAACTCACAGGAGGAAAACAACATCCGGAACAACAGCACGACCGTTCACTCTCAGGAATACACAGCAAATCCTGGTCCACCATCAACGTCACTGTTACTAGTCTTCGTCGCCGTCGTCGTGGTTGGTGTTGGTGTTGGTGTTGGTGTTGGTGTTGGTGTTGGTGTTGGTGTTGGTGCCGGTGCCGGTCTTGGTCTTGGTCTTGGTCGTGGTCGTGGTCGTGGTCGTGGTCGTGGTCTTGGTGGTGGTGGTGGTGGTGGTGGTGGTGGTGGTGGTGGTGGTGGTGGTGGTGGTGGTGGTGGTGGTGGTGGTGGTGGTGGTGGTGGTGGTGGTGGTGGTGGTGGGGATGTGGGTGGCGGTGGCGGTGACGGCGGCAAGCAGTAGCAAATGCACTGGGAGCAGGTAGTAGCAGCAGTAGTAGTAGTAGTAGTAGGAGTAGTAGGAGTAGTAGCAGTAGTAGTGGTAGTAGCAATGTCAGGAGTGATAGTCGAAGTAGCAGCGGTATGGCATACTGTTGGTGGTGATCGTACTGGGCCTTACACTTCTGCCACGACCTACCGCTGCATGACAGTCTGCCCATCGCGTGGTTCTACGCAGGTGGCAATCTGGGAGCTTCCCAAGAATTGGTCCTCTTTTCGGTTCCTTGCTGGGTCGAGTCAAGGAAGTTTACTTAAGCTACCATCATAAGGAAAACCTGTCAGTTACCAAAGATTCCAATTATGGTAACTTAGAATACATTCCTTGACCCAGCTCGTAGATTCGGAGTTTAGTCTTTGAGAATTCGGGTTCGCTCGGGTTCAGCTTTGGATGTGGAGGATGCATGCTTTGGGGACTCATATTCAGACTGGACCATAAAAGAATCTTTCTGCGCTGTCGCAGTTTGGCAGTCCATCTTTGCCAACCACATACCCGCTCGTGTAAGATTGACGGCTCATATATGCGGGCGCGAAGCGAAACATCTTTATGCAGGACTCCTGTCCTAAGCTTCTTGTGTCAGACATGAGCTTTCAAACACAAGTATAGCTCCATCATAGAATGATGAAACTGCATCTGCCAGTCGAAAAACAAGTAACGAGGCTGCGGGAGAGTGGCGCAGAAGAAGCTACTTTGTCTTTACAAGGAACCCGTTCAACAGGGGAGGAGATCCAGAGTCTTCAGAAAGAGCTTACCCTAATATGGGAGTTTCCGAAAATAGGGGAGCCTAATGTAGTACCCTAAATTGTAGTAGGATCCTTATCATAAGGACCCCACAATCGATGGCACAGAGGTGTCAGTTTAGGGCTTCACATCTTTCGCCTCTTCTTCGCGACTAGTCACAGCCCGAGCACAAGATGATCCCCATGGGTGAGAAGGGAAGTTCCCCGCCCAAGTGACGTGCTCGATAGAGACGCCGAACAGCGCCCACCGGACTGGAACGAAACGGAGAAGCTTCGCAAGCCAGGGGCGGATCCTCGCTTGCCACTTCTTCGCGGGAGCTGGGGTGCACAAAACCGTCCCTCTGCACGAGTTTTTCATCATAGAAACTCTGCCACTCTGGGCTTTTCACCACCGGACAGCTGATGGAGAGGAAGCTGCGCTGCTTCTCAATCTCAGGATCCTGGAGAGTCTCGCCCGCGCCATAGAGGCTGCCGGCGAAAACCTCGATCGGCACAGGGCTTCCCAGAGACTCCAATATCCCTTAATTAGGGAATATTCCTTAAATCAAATCAGGGATCCTACTATGATTTAAGGTATATTCCGTAATTAAGGGATATTGGAGTCTCTTGGTTCTGGCTTGGAGCTTGTGGATCTTTCACCCAAGAGCCTGGACACCAGGAAGTCAGTTTCCGATTCAGGGCTCGCTTTCGGACAAACTCGGCACGTCGCAGAAACCGCGGCCATGGGGTAGAGTCATGTTGGGAGTTTCCGAAAATTAGGGGTACCGTATTTTTGATAAGGATCCTACTGCTTAGGGTACTAGATAAGGGTCCCCCATTTTCGGAAACTCCCATATTAGGGTAAGCCTTCAAAGCTCGCAAGCCCTGGCTCCAAGCCTTCGAAGCTTTCCAAGCACTCAGTGGCAGTGCACAGCTGCTGGAATCCAGAGGTTCAGGGTTTGGTTTGCGCCCAAATCAGTCCTAAAAACCTAAAAACCCGGAACCAAAGGTACTGACTCGAAGTAAACTCTGCCTGGAGACTACAGCCCAACTCCAAACCCACAAACTCCAAAGCTCTAAACTCGAAACTCTAGATCTGCCCACAACAACCATCCTACGGTTGATGATATAAATCCTGCATTACCCATAATAAGGAATATACCATAATTCCCATAGTTTAGGGTCCTTAAGGTAATGCTGGATTATTTCATCCACCGTAGCACACAACAGCCCGAAGCTCACCCTACACCCTAACATCGCAAGCACTGAAGATACTAAAACTTAGGTACTGCCCCCTTACACTAAGAGTCTATAAATAGGGCTACCCTTAAGGTCCTAATATATCTATATTGTGAATACTGGTCAACTATTGCTGACTGCGGGCCGTACCCAAACCCAAACCCTAATGGAGGAATGGAGGCAAGCGACGTGGACCGATGTGGACAACGGAGCATCGCAAACCGGTGCCTGGTGCGGCCGCAGCCGCCGTCCCACCAAGACAAGCCGCGCATTGGGACCTGGACGGTTGTTGTGTACAAAAATCAAACTGGCAATAATAACAATGATAGTAAACAGAAATAGAAATAGCAACAAAAGTATTAATGATAATATCAGTAAGAACCGGAATAATAAGAATAGTAGTAGAAAGAATACTAAAATACCAATAATAACAATAGTAACAATCGTAACAACAGTATAACAATAATAACAAGAATAACAATAATAACAATAATGATAATAATCGTAACAATAATGACAACAATAACAATAAGACTGACAATAACAATGCTCGCTCGATCTTTCGGTTATTTTGCACGTTTGCATGCGGATCGAGCCAATAAACCATAACAGCTAAAAAATAGTTCAAATAGTCGTGACATTGCATCCCGAGTAGCCATAATGGTAATAATGATACTAAGACTTGGTCGTACTACTTGTGGGACTAACTTGTTGCTTTTTTGCTGATCGGGGCTTCTTCGCTTGTTGGCTATCGTGCATCTGAAAACCTAAACCCTAATTCTATCTCCGAATGCAAGATTTAGCCCCTTGGCTTCAAGAACCTGCAGAAAACCGGGAAAGCCAGCAGCTCAGGCGCTGACGGGTGCTGAACATGTTTGCAAAGTGTTCGGCTTCGAAGTTCGAGATGATAACTTGCCTCAGTAACTTTTTAGGGTTTAGGGTTTAGGGTTTAGGGTTTAGGGTTCAGGGTTCAGGGTTTAGGGTCTGAAACACATGTACAGCCAATCGCCGGAGACAAAGGTCACAGGATAGCAAACCTGAGTTAAGCCGATCTACCTACATCAGAGAGATGATCTTCCAAGCAAAGCATTCCGACCAAAGAGTGTGATGCCCTGGCACAATGGGGCCGGAGTTGAGCTTTAAACAAAAAATGCACCGAGCGAGCTTCTGCAAACCTGACTCTTCAAGTTCAAACCACGCCGACGCCGACCGAACAGTTCAGACCCCTGTACGAAACTACTTCACTCCGGTCTCCTGCGATGTGACACCAGATTATGGTAAAGTATATCAAGCAATTTCTACGTTGTACTGAGGCATTGTATATGTCATAACCTGTCAATCTTAGGAGTCTCCGAGAATTGGAGCCACCACGGAAACCCCCACGTTCTGCAGAGGTAGCCAATCACATCGAGCTGCTGTGATCTTCCTTGCTGGCAGAGCAGCACATACAAACAATGCAGTAGGGCACCTACACTCTGGCTGTTCTTGGCCTTAAACCCCAAACCCTAAACCTTATGAACAAATTTCGTTCAGATCCTGTCCTTTGAGCAGCCACATGGCAGGCCGCAAGTATGCATCCAAACAGCCGTTGTTGTCAACCGTCTGCATGAAGTCCGGTGTCACCTTAGGCAAGCTCAGCTCGCGAACATCGGTCGGCTTGTTCTGACCGGAAGTTTTCATCTCGTTGGAGATACAGAACAAGGGGTATGCTCATCATAATCAACAAAAGGAAGAAAAATCCGCCAGTAGATTGTTACTATTATTGCTCTTATAAGTATAACTAGTATGACGATTATTACTATTATTACTATTATGACTATTATTACTATTATTTCTGTTATTACTATTTTTACTATTATTGCTTTTATTACTGTTATTCCTATGATTACTATTACTAGTATTATTACTATTATTACTATACTTACTATTATTACTATTATCTCTGAAGCACCTTGACATTTTCGTTGGCCCAGCCCCAGTGTGGGAAGGAGGTCTGCTGCAGAAGCTGTCCGATGGAACAGAACGACTCCATCGCGTAGCCCGTGCTAGCCAAAGCCTGCACACCTCCGTAGCTTGGGTTTAGGGTTTAGGGTATTAAAGGTTATAAGTACCTGAATTGGGGTTGTAAGTTGTTATAGGTATAGTTACCCTACTAATAACCTTAGTTACTAAGTCACATGATCCTTTAAGTAGGGTCATCGTCAGAGTGGCAAGCAACACCACTGCTAGCACTAGTTAGTACGTTTCTTTCTGCTGCATTACTTCTGGTGACTAGACAGTACCGATGATGACAGTAGCACGGAGCAAAGACCATGACCCCCAAGTGTCGCGACCGCGTTCTTGAAATTTGTCGGAACACAAGGCCATGGTGGCACTGCTCCTATCAAAAAACAATGGCATTGGCAACGGCAGCAGCAACAAGAAAAAGATATGTAAAGACAGTGTAAAGCTCAGCCCGCGATGATGATACTGTTGGCGGTCGGTATACATGTCAATGACGGCCGCCATCCTCCACAGAGCCATCGTTATTCTGCTAACACTGATGCTCACCATCACCACTACAAGTAAGGTCATCGTTGTCAGCATCAACATCAACATCACAGTCACAATAACAATCACCATCATCAAAACAACATAAATTGTTTTCTTCAGTATCGTCATGAGCAGGTAGCTGCCTCAGTCGCATCACCATCATCGTCACCCCGACGACAACAAGAAGAAGAACAGAAGAGAACAGAGCGGAACGGAACAGAACGGGATCGAATAACAAAGAACGGAATAGACTGGAATGGACCAGAGAAGAATCTACGAAGATTATCATGAGGACAGAATTCAAAAAACAAAACAAGAACAGGCTGTCTCGAACGGAAAACCAAAAGAATCAGCTCCCCAACTGCCCGCCTGGTGAAATCCGGGGCTTGCAGGCCTGTGCAGGACCCGGACGCTCAATCTGGCGCTCCTCCTCCAACTCGACCTCCAGTTCCCGCTCCTGCTCTTCCTCAACTTCTGGTGTTCCGGACTAAGTCTGTGGCTAGGGTTTGAGTGCAAGGTTCAAGGAACAGTGGTCTGAGGCATCAAGCTACGTTCAAGGCAGCCATGTTCTTCTGCAGTCGTCCGGTGGCTGCAGAGGGAGTACGACGATGTGAAATCTGTCTCTGAGAACTTAATATGCTTTCGGCAGAAGCACAGAACGGAAATTGAAAGGCTCCCAAATGTAACCAAGATTCGTCAAGGAGGCTTGCAGGTCGGGTCACCTTGCTTGCAAGACTTTCAACTCGGCGTTGCACGTCGACCTCGAGCATGTCACAGACATGGGAGTACTACAAGTGGTCGTCGTAGTAGTAGTAGTAGTAGTAGTAGTAGTAGTAGTAGTAGTAGTAGTAGTAGTAGTAGTAGTAGTAGTAGTAGTAGTAGTAGTAGTAGTAGTGTAAGACCAGTAGTAGTAGCAGAAGAAGAAGCAGTAGCAGTAGCAGCGGCAGTAGCAGTAGCAGTAGCAGCAGTAGTAGTAGTAGTAGTAGTAGTAGTAGTAGCAGCAGTAGTAGCACGAGCAGTAGGAGTAGGAGGAGTGGCAGTAGCAGTAGCTCGGTCCCTGCTGCTAGAATGCTATCCGACGAGCAGCGGCAGCAGCGGTAGAATCGATGAGCAAGAAAGAAAGCTACAGTGGACAAAACTGCCTCCTACTCCTGTAGTACCAGAAGAATCGCACACACCTGGCCTGGAGTTGAGTCAAGAGAGATCGAGCATGCGGACTGTCCACTGCTGGAACCATGGCTGTGATGGGCCGCAGAAGGCAGTTCACAATGTCGGGCAGCGTCTCCTTGGACCGTGCGTGGCCGTACATGTCCTTCAGCAGCAGAACCTCGTTCATTGCACATGTCGCAGCCAGCTTGGCGAGATCCTGCCTGGATGTGTAGGCAGCCTCCTTCCGAATGCGGGTAGCTCCCTGGGCAGCCCAATAAGGCAGCTTGTCAGCAACGGCCTTCGCAGCATTCGTGAGACACCAGGACAGGATGGAAGAAAGAACCCGGCAATGGCAGTTCCGTAAAGCGGGCTTTCGAAGATAGGCTTGGACTTGAAGATCAACCTCAAAGGATGCGAAGAAGGCAACGGAATGTCCACTCCCCAGCAGCCGCATCCTCATACAAGCTTGGACCAGCTTGTCCTTCTGCATTCCACGACCCAAAGTGACCGCGGCCTTGCTGCCGCAGTGCATGCGGAAGTCGCAGCCACGGCAGTGAACATCGTCCAAGTACAGGAGGCATTTGTCAAGGCAGCGCTCATAAGGCGAGACTGCCAGGGGTATGACCTGTCCACTTCGGTTCACCACTGATGCAACATTGCTGGTATCAAAGAAGATGGCGGCTTCCTTGCCATCCCGGCGGCTCTCTAGCCAGCTTTGGGCCATCTCCTGGTTCGACATGTCCGTCACGAGGGCCCCGGCATCGAGCAGCACGTTGATGCTTGGGTCGGCCAAGAGCTTCGCCAGAACGGCCTTGCCGGAAGCATCGTGCGGGAGCTTCACGTAGCCTTGGTTCTCCTGTCACAGCACAACACAAGAGGCCAAAGTGCCAAAGTGCCCAAACTAAAAGCCCCTCTCTCTCTGTCCTCGCGCATGAGGTTCCGGAGTACCAGACCGTTGGTATGCGCAAGCTGAGCGAGGTTGGATTGCCGGATGGTCGTTGGAAGCAACGGTCGAATGTCATCCGTCCCTGAGAAGCCGGTGGTGAGTGGGCCGAGTGGACACAGGTCCCATGGGGTCGCGACCAACTTCTGCGGAAACTGCTTTGCCTCAACAGGAAAGACGACCTGAGAGCAAAAACCCCAGGGACAGGAAACATGACCTGCAACCTTGAGCTTCTCCATGCTTTCTGCATTCCCACCTCGCCCAACCAAAAGTCAACCACACCACAGTGCCGCATCAATGCTGGAAATAGCTGCTGGTGCAGCATCTCCTTGTCATCCAAGTTAACTCCCGACCTCGGCCGAACAATTCAGGGATTCGTAGCAACGTGAAGACGATCTCCTGATGGGACTTGTGTGCATTAGCGCTCTGAAAAGGCCGAGCCGGAGACAACACAAATGATGTGTTCTTGTTCAGGGGTTTAATCCAAGTTACCGTACTAGGGAGCTATAGTAAATTTCATGGTTTCTGTAGCATGGTAACTTGAGTTAAGCCCTTTAAGCAACAAGCCAAAATGGTAATCACCCTCACCATGACAGTCAGAATCGCCGTCATAACCAAAATAACTAAGTCTAAGAATGCTTGTACCCATGCCAAGCCTATCAACATCGCTCGAAAAACAGCTATGGAATTGCTTCATCAGAGTATAGCAACATGGCCCCATGTATCACAGTCGAACCCAGAGCCTAAATCCTAGACCCGCGACATTAAGAACCTTAAGGGCCCGAAATTCCCCCAGCCCCTGAACACGAGGCCGCCCATGATTGCTGCCTAGCCACCAGTCGCGCAGCTCGGTAGGCATTGCCTCCCCCATCTGGCCCGTCCACTTCCTGGAGGCTTTTTGTAAGGTTAGGGTTCAGGGCTTGGACCGAAGGCTCTGAGGTTCAAGGACCAAGGTTGATGGAAGGTTTGGGAATTGGTTAGACATTAGGGTTGAGGATTTAGAGTTCAGGGCCTGTTACAACCCCAGAACTGGAAGGGGAACAACATGTTTCTGAAGACGATGCAAATGCGATGCACCTTGACTGCTTGCATCAGCTACCAGCTACACTGACCCGCAGATCCACCGCGGTATGGAGCGTAGTCTCATACTGTACGAGACATGGTGTCACACGTCAGTCACGGTCCTAAAGCAAAGATCAAGAGGGGTGGTTGTCAAAATTATGGTCCCTTTTTGGGTCCGTATTATAATACGGCACCTATTGTTTAGGGTACCCCAAAAGGACCATCGTTTGACAACTACCAATATGCAGATTCGAGAAAAGCTCGATCTTGGATCACAAAGCACCGAGGTCCTGTAGGTGGCAGCGGCCTCACGCTCATCTTTTCTTGCGAGTCGTCCGAAGACTTCCTTCATGGCATGGTCGTCCAAGCCACCTCTGTAGTAGGTTATCAAAGTAAGCCTCGGCTGTCAAACTGACTTGTCTGTGAATGAGTGGCTCGTTGGCTTTACTACTCCCCTTATGTGGCCTCGCAACTGTGGAGAGGCCAGGGAGCAGCATGGCCACGTCCGGATGTCCAAATTCGCTCCTCTCGGCGGCAACATCCTTTGCTCTAAAAGGGACGGCCATCCGGCATCTGCCGGCAGGGTGCCTTCCGAAGTCCACCCGCCAGCGTTTGCAGAGCGCCAGTTGGAGAACGCCGTGACAAAGGAGGCCGCGAAGCAAAAAGGCGATGGGCTGCAAAGTCTCGTGCAAGATGAGCCAAGGCTCCCCCCTGGCGTCGTCAACGAGAGCACATTCCCTGAAGGCTTGTCGCTCCTTCTCACCGCAGATCTTCAGAGAAAGCTGCGAATGTTCCGACGCCAGCAAGTCGTCAACAATCCAATCACAAAGCTGCTGATACACCGCTGCACCCGTCTGATGCTCAAGCAGTCGCACAGAAGGGAACTGGAAGGTGGGAGATCCCGGAGTGAACTCAACCGCTGCTTGTCCGAAGGTCTCTGCCAACATCTGAGATCGCCTGGCCACGAGAGCCAGCACGGAGGAAGCAACACGCCATCGAAGCCCACCACCATCAAACTCCTGAGGATTCCCCAGGGTGTAGATCAACTGGTACTTGGCATGCAAGATCTCGTCGGATTCGTCCAAAACATCCCGGACATGTGTCTTCAGCAGATCCAAAACAGAGTGGAGGCCCTCACTAGCTTGCAAGTTCCCCGTGTAAGCCAGCTCAATCGCCTTGTTCTCCAAAGACAGCCGATGATCAGGCACCGTGACAATGATGTGACGACCTTACGATGACAAATGAGCTTCATTGCTGCATTGCTTCATGAAGTTGCTGCTATTGGTGCTCGCATGAGTCCGTAGTCCAAGTCTCGGTGTCTGCAATGCATAGCCCACTCATGAGAGCCCACGAAACAGCACCAAATCAAACACCGAGCCGATGAACAGCTCAGCATGCTAAAAGCTCTTTCGCTGTCCAGGGTTTGACCGACTTATGACGTGTGGAAAAATCGAGCATTTTTGACAGCTTTGGTGCCGGGTGACCTTGCCCTCGGCAGATAGTCGACAGGGGATCCCCCTCCCGACTGTGGTGTTCAGTTTTCACGGGAGCTTTCAGAATTCTCTGACCTTGTGGCACCATGAACCCCAGGACCCGAACCTCATTCCCATCAGAGCCACTTTTTCCAGTCGAGGCACAGAAAAAAGAATGACCCTCTGTCACGCCTGACATTGCCCTCTGGCTCCGCACTCGTGCGGAACAAAGTTATAACCATTTTCCTATTAAACGCTGATTGAAGTTCTACTTGATTAGGATGATACAGGATTCTAGCAGGATCCTATGATTTTCTTGCAAAAACCTATTAAAGCGTATGTGTTCTCCCAGCCCCTCTCTCTCTCTCTCTCTCTCTCTCTCTCTCTCTCGTGTGTTCACTCCTGCTCTCTCTCATTGTCTTCTCGGTCTCTCGAACGTCTTTCTGTTTGCTGTCTGACGTACGTCCACCTCAGGTTACTAGCGGCTCTGCTTGCCGTACGCATTGCTTTGAGCACTCGGGGTGGTGTCCGTGCATCAGTACTTGTTGATTCTGGCACTGCCAAGTCCATGCTTTTGCATCTTTGGTACGCTTTCCCCTTGCTGAGCCGGTCATCCCTTTATTGGGTGCAAGTTTTGCATGTCTACGGCCTGTGAACGTGATGCGTGGCGTTGGTTCACCGGCTTCACTCATCCTCCTACACAGACCGACCAACATCACAATCATCATCTTTACCATCACAACGCCACAACGGCTGTCAAAGTCTGTCGGATCCTCCCTAAACCCTACACCCAAACCCTAAACCCCTAATCACGAATGAGACCACGAAAGCTGTCGTGCTAGCAGAGGCCCCGACCTTGGCGGACCCGATGTAACATTCGATGAAGGCACGAGGCGGGAACATCCTGCTCAGTCATAGAAGAGAGGGGCATGGGGTTTAGGGCCATTTAGGGATTTAGGGTTTTCAGTTTAAGGGTTAGTGCTCCAACGAATTCTGCGGTGGAATCGAGGGGCTTCGAAGGTTCAAAAAGACTCACAAGGCATGCTCGTCAAGACCCATCCCCCCCCCCCACCACAACCCCCACTTATCGATGTGCACAAAACTCTGCCTACGCATGCACAAACAGAAAGGCAAAAAATATGTACATACAGAATACGGCGATTGCGCCAAGCAGTGCTGATGTTTCGTGCTTGCAGAGTTCCCAACCCTGGCACGCACCTCCAGCTTCAGATCTCGGCGACAAAGCATTGGGTACACGCGCTGCCCAAGAAGACCTCCAATCCTCGAGAAATGTCAGTAGGATGCTGGGCGCAGCTGCCAAGGGATATGAGGGAGGTTGCAGGTTTTTCGGGTGAGCTAGACCAGATTCCGATGGCAGGACGAGACGATGATCCTTACTACTGTTGATGATATAATTCCTGCATTACCCATAATAAGGAATATACCATTATTCCCATAGTTTAGGGTCCTTAAGGTAATGCAGGATTTATATCATCAACCGTAGCAGTCCGAGAAAGCTATGCCGGATAGGGCCAAGAGGGGCCGAAACGACAAGCGCCCAGAGTTTGCTGCTCGGGACGTCTGCCGGAGTTAGCTTCGGAGCTGGAGTAGGGTTTTAGGGTTTAGGGTTTGTGGGCTCATGCTCTTATCGGTCGACGAGCAAGCTTCGGCAAAGGCTACTGAGGTTTGGGAGTTTGGCTTTAGAGCATCGATGACTCTGTGCAGAAATCCCAGATAAAGCTTCTGCCACGGTGCTTGTGCTGCCAGTCTGCCGCATTGGTCTGTCTCAACGACGAGAGCACGGTGACTCGCAGTAGCTTCTGGCCATCTGCCAAAGATGCAATCAGGAGCGGAACGATGACTGACGTCCTGAGGAACTGCAGCACTGCTACAGCCTCCCGCCGTCACAAGTCACACCCCTCATTCCTAAGGAGCGAAAAATCTTGCGATGAACGAACCCAGCTCACCGCACCCTTTGCAGCTGTGAGTTTCTTGCTATTAGTTAGGAGTGTCAAAGGCCATCAGCACATCAAACTACAATACTCACCGTCCCTACCAAAACAAGCCGTGCCAGTTCTTGTTCTGGTCTCTTCCCTTCGCCCATATTCAGCTGCATCAGGCTGTTCCGCAGCTCTTCCGTACTCTGAGCTTTCTCCGGCATCATGTGCTTTGCCACCAGCACCTGCTGCTCACGAATGCAGAAATCGTTGTCCACTTCCAGAAGCAGCCACTCCGGATGCTTTGCCGGCGCCCAGGTCGTGGAGCCCGTGCTTCCAGTGTCAAGCTCCTGCCTCAACCAAGCACTCATCCCGCTCACCTCCAACAGCCGCAAGCAGCGTAGGGCACGCTGCTCGGCACGGAGGCAGACTGCAAAGGCACCGATGGCAACGCCTTGCGAAAGCATGTCAGCTCGAAAACAGTGGCTACTTAAAGTACTAAAGCAAAATGCGAAGCGATCAGCGGAGGACATTCAATTCTGCCAGTAGTCAGAAAGCAGAGACGGAAGAAGACGAGGGTTTCAATCTCAGGTTGAGGTCAGGGAAGTTCGCAGCTTGCCCAGCTTGTTCGACGCTTGTCTGCTCGGTTGTGCTGAAATTCCTTTCTAGATCCATGTAGCAACCGTACAGTAACTCGTACAGTAACCTGAGAGTAACCTCATAGAAACCCTATTAAAACCCTGTTGTATCCGCTTTACTACTATCATAAAGACCCTTAGGAGTGTAGGGGGAGGGGGGGTAGGGGGCCTTAATGCCCATAATAAGGACTAATAAAGCCTATTTAAGGAAATATAGTCCCCTACACCCTCCCCCCTACACCCTTAAGGGTCCCTATGATACTACATGCCCAGGAGCAGAGAGGAGAGTCGTGAGCATTCAACAGACGAGGCAATGCCGTGAGTGGCACCGGTGTCTCGTGAAGACCACACTGACGTAGCAGATCGTCCCAGTCACCTGCAACGTACGGTTGAGGGCTTAGGCTTTAGGGTTTAGGGTTTAAGGTTTAGGGTTTAGGGTTTAGGGGTTTAGGGCTTAGGGTTTAGGGGTTTGGGGTCGAGGGCTTAGGGTTTAGGATTCACTGCATCATTATTAAACAAGCAGCGACCTTCGATCGTACTACAAGTGCGGCAAGCTGCACAAAAAAAAAACACCTGGGACCAGCTGGTCTGTAAGGCAGGGTACTGTTCTCGGCATCGCTACTCACCAGCTAGAAGGACGATCCCCAAGAGCGGACAAACCCCTGAAGCCATAACTGGACCTCCGATTATAACCTCCCCCAAGAATGAACTAATGGGGTTTTCAAAAACATCTTTCCTTGTATAGTATGAATGAAACTGTATGGTGCTAAGCTGCAGTATGGCATAGTACAGTATAGTATAACATAGAATAGTATAGCATAGTATAGTATAGCATAACATAGTATAGTGTAATGGGGCATCTTCTAGTAGAGTCCTAAGCCCCAGCGCTAGCAGTTGGGCCAGCCTTGTCCCTGAAGGGCATCGCGAACATGTTGCCAGGTCTTCTTCCGCCAAGCCTCCGCCTCTTCCGGCGCTTTTAGGGTTCAGGGTTTAGGGTTTAGGGTTCAGGGTTTAGGGTTCAGAGGCTATTGAAACTTTCGGCATACACAGAGTTTAGGGGTTTAGCTTTCAGGGATCGCGGAACGTGAAGGCACGACACTTTCAGCGTTCGGCCTCCCTCAAGTATCTGCGGAGCTTCTCCCTGAGGGTAGAGTCTAGCAGATCGTGATCCAAGGACTGGTCTTCATGCGCCAGCTTCCAGCTTTCCAGCAGAGGGTCGATCAACTCTTTGTTAATCTGCGCATACTCCTGGCTAGAGCAGCTTTAATTGAGAGTTAGAAGCTCTGTTCTGCTGTATTATACAAAATTAGAACGTATTGTATATTCTATTACAGTAGCCCATAGTATATTGTGGTAGAGTTTCGGGTTGAGGGTTTCAGTTCTCAAGAAAGTGTTACAGACTTTGTAATGCCCGGAAGTACCGCTGCGTGATTATGTGCTGTCTAAACCAATTGCATCCGTCCAACAGGCTGCGACTGTGCTGGACGTTAGCTACGCAGAATTTACACTACATGATGCCGCATACTACTCCGCAGACTGTCAAGGAAGTTGCATCGTGCGCTATGCTGGCAAACGGGGGCTAGCTACAAGCGTCCAGTGCATAGCAGGGCTAGGGTGAAAGGGTGTAGGAAATAGGAGTTTCAAGAAAGTCAAGAGACCCTTCTAGGGGAACCCCTAAATTTGAACCCGAGCCCTAAACCCCAAACCCTAAACCCCAAACAAACTCTCCTCGTCAGGCGCCAAGCTTAGAAGAGGAGCCTGGGTCTTCGTCGAGAAAGAGGAGAGGGTCACCGGAGTTCCCAGCTTGCCCGTGTCCCAGAACCTCGTGCTTAGGGCTTTCGTTTAGGGTTTAGTGCTGAGGGCTTAGAGCTTGCAGACTATATGAGAAGATGTTTTCAGACAAGCAGGATAACACATCATCATAAAACAACAAGCCTTTGGTCCCAAACTCAACCCTCAACCCGAAAAGCCCAAAAACCGAAGCTTTGGCATCCCGGACCTCTGCAATGCCGCAGAGGATGCCGCCACGCCCAGCTCGGGCTCAGGCAGCATTGGTGACGAAAGCATTGGCTTCAGCCTGCTCCTTGCCGTCGTAGGGTTCGGGGCTTCGGGGTTTAGGCTTTTAGGGTTTAGGGTTTAGGGTTTAGGGTTTAGGGTTTAGGATTTAGGGTTTAGGATTTAGGGTTTAGGGGTTTAGGCTTCAGAGCTTTTGGGTTTGGGGTTTAAAGGGTTCGAGGGTTGGGATTTCGGGTTTTGGGGGTTTGGGAGGGCAGGGCAGGGCAGGGCAGTTGAGGACGCAAGCGAACACTGCGCGGCCATGCTATTTGATGCCGACACTTCACCTTGAAGCTTCAAGCTGGAATAAAAAGAGTCCTTGCTTTGGACTCGGGACTCGGGTTGGAGGCTTGACCGCTTGGCAAAGTAAATCCTCCTAAGAATGCTCGATCAAGATGCCGGCACGACTGCGGTGATGATTGGCCTATGCACGAACTTTACACGTGCCTGGAAACACACTGTAGCACAAAAAAAGCAATGTGGTGTGCAGGAGCCATGAATTCTGTGCACATCGCGTGCATTGCCTGGCTTCCTAGTACCCTAAACTCACATGCGAAACATTTCGAAACCCATGGGTTTGGGTTGTGGGCTGAGGGCTGGAGATACCCTAAACCCTAAACCCTAAACCCTAAAAACTAAACCCCAAACCCTAAACCCTAAACCCTAAACCCTTTATTTCTGTCCTGGTGGGGAGCGCGAGTTCTGAAGTTGGCGTCCGCTTGTCTGGCTGTAGCTTCGGAGTCTGCAGCTTGCTCTCCACCTGGGAGTTTCCGAAAATTTGGGGTACCTTATTCGGGGGTCCTTATAATAAGGATCCTACTATTTGGGGTGCTATGTTAGGGTCCCCTATTTTCGGAAAGTCCCACCTTTTTCAGAAAGCCGCGCAGGTCACACGCCTGCCGCAATCTGGTCAGGTAAGCATCGATGTCCTTCAGGAAGGCCTGCGTATCATTGATGGTCTGGAGGTACACAGACCGATCCATGCAACCACCGCTGGAGAACACAAGACCAGTCTTCAGCACGATGAGAGAGAGCTCCTTCTTGCAATTCTCCTCGAAACGCTTGCGAAGTTTCTCAGCCTGCTTTACCGACCGGTCTTCGTCAAGATCTACTTCGGAGCACATCTGATGTCGTTTGGTGATTGTCTCCACTTCTTGAGATTCAGGCTCAAACTTGTCTGGGCGCTGGTACCTCGCATGTCGCGGTAGCTGCAGCGGGCGGAACTCTTCCGCGTGGCAGGCGATGCTGGCAAGAATCTTGAGATGGGCCACTGTTTGTGGCTCCGGCCACTGTTTCCTGGGTTCTTGTGAAGGAACGTAATGAAAGCTACGATGATCGGGGGATCTATAGCAAACGATATGGATCCTTTGTCTGGGACCTTAAACCAGACTTCTCAACAAGAACCCAGTTTCGCCAGGAAAGCCAGCATAAAGCCGACCCTCCTCTGACAGTTCACCCGCAGCGCCGCCTCGCAGAGCGCGATCCAAGCGGGCCGCAAGGTCTGCTCTTGCGCCAACTTGTCCCAGGAAGCAATGCTTGAGAGATACTCCTCTTAGTAGGGCGATTATGAATCATGTAGGAACCTGATTCAGAAACCCTGGGCCTATAACCCCAAAATGGTAGGATTCAAACAAGGTACCCTAATAATAATCAATAAAAAGGCCCAAGGTTTCTTAATCAGGTTCCTCACCCCGAGTAGTCCTCAAGAGCTCTCGAAACACTCGCCACAACCCCCAGTAAAAACAGTACTACTTCATATGCTCCTGGGAGATCCCCGGAAGATCCTCCGAGGTGCACAGGAGCGGCAGGAGCGAGTGAAAGTGCACCGATCCCTCCCCAAGCGTGACGGCGGCCACCTCCCGAACCTTGGCTGCCTCTTTCTCAACGACCTGGGAATTTTCGAAAAATAAGGGGGACCTTGTTTTGGGGTCCCTATGCTAAGGATCCTACTATTTAGGATACCATATTAGGGTCCCCATTTTCGGAAACCCCCACCTCTTGCCAAAGAACCGGAGCTCGGGGCTTGCTCTGCTGGAGAAGAGCCGCTTCTTCCTCGGTAGCAACATCTCTATACATGCTCGTGCTGCTGTGTATGTCCACTGCCAGGATACCATATCTTAACATTGTGATGCTGTAGTACTGCAAGGTCGTAATATTACATATCGCAAGTTTGCAAGTATGCATGTACTACTGCAATAGTTCCGTTTTGCACTGCGATAAAATTACACTCTTCTGCTACACACACACATACCTGCATATAACTTACTTACGTGCTGAAACTGTGGAACCTAAACCCTAAACCCTAAACCGAACAGATCCAAGGCTCTTCCTCTGGCCGCAAGCGCGCGGGAAGACCATAGGCCTCTCGACTGCGAAGGTAGGCCCGCTGGCTGAGGGAACCACAGCGGAGGCCAGTCTCATCCTTGGTTTCGGGTTTAGGGGTTTAGGGGTTTAGGGTTTAGGGTTTAGGGTTAGGGTTTAGGGGTTTAGGGTTTGGGGTTTAGGGTCTAGGGTTAGGGAGGCGCTTTAGGGCTTTTGGGTTGAGGGTTTTGGGTTCAGGAGGCGCTTTAGGGATTTTTAGGGGTTTTTTTGGGTTTCGGAGCGGCTTTAGGGGCTTTGGGCTTCGGGTTTGGGGTAGGGCTTTTTGACCCAAGGGCTTCGGATTTCGGGTTCAGAACTTAAGGGTTCCCTAAAAAAGTTGCCACACTATGGGTCTGTAGTCTTTTGGTAGGTGAACATGGCTTTGATTTTGAGAAAAAACACAAAAAACACTGTTCCCTAACAGCAACCCGGCTTCCAGAGCGTTGAGGAGGCTTTTGGGGCATTTCCCTGTGAACTGGCACTGCTCCCGAAGCTCGGTCAATGCTTGGTGGGACAAGAAAGCCAAGCCTTCATGAGCGCACAATCCCAGCATGTCATGGAAGTCTGCTCTCTCTGCGACCTCGGTTCGATTTGATGCGAAGTCCGTCTAAAAAGCTTGGAGCCACATATGCAGCACATCGTTCTCAGCCAAGATGCCCTGCCAAACCTCCCACAAGGCGACCGCTCCGGCGAGGCCCTGGCAATTTCCACGAGCGTCCGCTCCGCCGTACCCAGCTCCATCTTCTCGTGGAGCTCTGGAAGGTTGCCGCGGCATCTGGCAGAGCGGAGAAGATCCAAGGCCGTGACGGTCCCAGTACGCTCGAGGAAAGGGTCGGGCAGTACGTGGGACGTCAACGCATGCAGCTTTGCCAAGTAGATCCAAGCGAGACGATCTTTGGGACCGTGCAGATCCTGGAGATGTGGCCGTAGGGTATACACGAAGAAGGGGGGCGAACGCACCTTGTCAAGCTCCAGCTTGACCGATCGATGCTTGTCCTCCTTGTGACAGACGGTGCTGGCATGAGGCAGCAAAAGCATCTTCTCATTGCCCCTCTCCAGAAGCAGGCCATGCTCCAGGCCAATCAGGGTTCGCAGGTTCTGATCCGCAGCAACAGTTCCTTGCATTTCATGGCTCCGGAGCTCAACAGACCCGCCTGCATGATGGACATTGAAGTGAATCTGCAAATCAGGCAGGAACACCCTGGGGCTTGGACTGCCAGAAAAAACGTGCACATGATCCCGCAGTGCCAGGCGTCCGAAAGCTTTGAAGAGCTCCTGAAACGTTGCACTGCCAATATCGATCAGCAACTGTCCGCATCCAGTGCTTCTGATCGTCCGGCTGCACAAGTCCAGCACAAACGCAGCACCCTGGGAGCATCCCAGCTCGAACTTGGGGTCCTTGAAAGAGATGGGCCGGAAGTAGATTGTGGGCCTTGGCTTTGGCACCAACCAGTGGCTGTAGTTCTCCACGAGCTCAGCAGGCACATCGTTCCTGAAGGCGTCATGCGGCACCACAGATGCCGAGACCGCCCCATCCGGGCTTGAGCGCTCCTCCTTAATCATGACTGTGCCATCAGTGTTCACATCAAACGTGAAGCAGGCAGAGTTCTGAATGTCGGAGACATAGCTTCCTTGAGGTGTGGGTCGCACCTGGAACCGGTGGTTGCCGAAGAGACGACTGTAGAGTCTGCTGCCGGTGATCTGCGAGGGCAGCAGTCCTACAGGCTTCCCATTCACCAGGAAAGAACCTCCAAGCACATCCAAGTGAAGCACGCAAGTCCGCTCGTAAGTCGTCTTGTACCAGCGGCTGCAAGGCTCCTTGCAGCATTGCCACTCACCGTAGGTACCATCCCTGCCCCCCGCCCAGTGCCTTCGAACGAACTTCGTCAGCAAGTTGGACACCATGGTTCTGTGAAGTTGATGCTCCAAGCTCAACGCTACACACCTGGCATTCCGCACGAGCTGCCGCCGCTCGGATGACAGGCTCTCTTCTTGCAGACATCCCGAAAGCATGGTTTCGTAGCAAGCGGCGCGAACCGTGAGCCAGTCAAGCAGGCTCTCCTCCGTCAGGCAAGCTGTTTGCGTCACCCCTGGGAGAGGCGAGGAGAGAAACGTCAAAGCTGTAGCTGCGGCTATGTCAACAATCTTGTCACGAAGGCGTGCAGCCTCCAGCACGTCCGAAGTGTGGCTCAAGATCTCCTTGACCGTTGCTACCCACTCAAGTCCCACAGAGCGAGCGCTGCGCAGGATGCCATGTGCCGCCGCACTGCCCCGAGGATTGCAATGCTCAGCAAGAAAGCGGCCCAAAGTGATCACGAAGAGCAGGGTGCGGTTGTGAGTCCAGTTCTTCCTCGACGTTTCAAGAAGAAGGGCAATGTGGGTGCACAGCTTGAGGGCAAGATCATCCTCAAGCAAGCACCTTAAAGCCACAAAGCCGGTAGCACAAATCTAAACACGTCTGCACAAGACACAGACGTCTATGTTTGGCCTGCCCGTCGGCCCTGACCCCAAACGCAGCAGAGACACGCCGAAGCTTGGCGAAGCACCTCAGGCCAAGGACTTGTGTTTCCACGCTTACCAAGTTTTCTAAATGCAGGACTGCGACGGGACACTCAGCAGAATCGATGCAAATGCCTCTAGCAACCAGCACACTCGGGCCAATGTAGAATCCAGATTAGGATCTCCCTCTCCCCGAAACCCATGTTCCTTTCTTAGCTGAAGCCACGGCGCTGCCTGCTGTGCCAAATTCCCAGTCGTGGAAGCTTCTTGCAAGCTGTTCTCAGAGGCTGGCCCAACCTGCCACAGGAGTGCCTTCAGCATGTTCCTTGGCTGGCCGGGTTCCAAGTGGTGGTACGTTGCTCCGGGTTCGTTAGAACATACCATCATGTCGGGTACGGTGCAGGTTAGAGCCCCTGCTTTTATGAAACACCTTTGTAGCTCTTGAACTACGACCCCCTCTGTGCAAGGCAAGGCTCAAGACACCGAGTCGCTGGAAGGACAGACAGTGCTGAGCTATGGCGTACATCAGGCGTGGGAGTTGCAAGCGTACGCCACTTCGAAGCATGCCGAACGTCTCGAACTCGAGCAACGTGATGTCAGGATGCGCCGCAGATTTCATAGCGATGGCCTTGTTGTCATTCTCTTTCCAAGAGGCTACATGGCCGTCAAGGGCTTCATATCTCTCGTCGTTTGTGCTCACCTTGGTTGGCCTCTCCACGCTCCAACGCCAACGAGAGCTGACAATGTTCTTCCCTTCTTCATCCCATTTCTTCTCGTCGAGTAGGACCAAGTTATACCCGTGGGGGACAATGAAGGTTTTGTGCTTCAGCACATGACATTTCTTGTAACGGCTGTCACGGAACTTCTTGCTGCTAGAGCCCAGTGAGAACGCTGCGTCTTTAACCCGACGCCAACCGGACAAACACGGATCTTGGCGCCACGGGACCATCCGAGACCGGTCGCTGTAGAAATCACCCTGGGCGCCAATTTCGCGAGCAAGGAGCAGGATCGAGTCCCGCTGCAAAGCGAGAATAGCCGGCTGCTGCAGCTCGTAGACCACAGCGCGCTGTTCGTTCTCATCTTCTGGAAGCAGCTTCTCGTAGATGTCCACGTGCATCTTGTTCGCATAGTCCTTCTCGACATTCGCTTGCTTCTTGGTCGCACACTTCTTACACTTTCTCGAATGCCTACGGCCCGGGTCATACTCGCAAGAGAGAACCTCTGCAGCTGCTGTTGTCTGCTTGAACTTCTCCAACATCTCCCTGTGGCGGCTCAGAGTTGTGCGAACTTCTTCTGCTTTCGCTGCCTGATTCTGTAGGCATTGCTCTTGGATGTCTGCTCTGACGTCTTCCATCTCTGCTTTCGCAAACCTTACTGAGAAAGAGCTGGCGGACACTTCAGCGGCGCAGATGGTGCTGGGATAGCTGGCAACATTCTCTCGCTCTTGCACATAGCACTCCAGAGCATGAAGCAGCTTCCGATCTTCTAAGTGCGGAGTCAATATCACATGCAGCATGCTGATCTCAACACCAATGCTGTGCTCTTTGAGCACCGGGAACTCTCTGCAAGCTGCACGATCCACCATCAGCACCATCGTGGTCGCCATGAGACATCTTCGGCTCTGTCCTTCTGGGACCCTAAACCCTAAACCCCTAAACCCTCAACCCTAAACCCCTAAACCCCTAAAACCTAAACCCCAGGCTCTAGGTCCGATGCCCCAGCCGCCCTAGCCTTCTACACTACACTGCCTTAAAACTCCTAGTCCTACCAGGCTCTTTTGAGCCTTCCTCTGGAGCCCCAAAAACCCCACGAAGTCCCCACAACACCCATCCTTCTGGGTCGCCCTTGTAGATCCTGCCGCTCAGCTCCAAGTATCCGGTCATCAGCTCGCGGAACGCGTCCGCCTGAAACACCGCCTGCGAATGCCAAGCCTCGGGTCTCCCACCAAGTCAAGAAGGGAAAAAGGAAAAATTGCCATAAGTAATGCCAAATAAATGGTGCATGACATATGGGTTTTAAGGTACCCTAAATGTTAGGTGCCGTACTATAATAAGGACCCAAAAAGGGACCCTAATTGTGACAACCACCCATATCTTATATGGTACAACTGATAGTCTGTAAGCTGTACGGGGCATTACATATGATACTGCTGATGGACAAAACCCTGCATGACCCTAAGGACTCTAAACTTTGGGAACTATGGTATCTTCCTTATTATGGGTCATGCAGGATTTTGTCCATCAACAGTACATCGATGATTGCATGTTGTATGTGCTGTACAGGTTTCGCTCAGTTTCAAGCAGGCTTCTCCTCTCTTGTGCTCAGGGCTTTGCTTTTGATGGTGAGTGTTTGGGCCTTGCTTAAAGGATCATGGGACTTAGTAACTAAGGTTATTATGAGGGTAACTATACTTATAACCCCAATGTAGGTACTTATAACCTTACTTACTAAGTCCCATGATCCTCCAAGTGGTGTCTACGACTTCGGGTTTGGAGTCTGGGAGGGCTTGCGACCTTCCAACAGAAGCCAAGTGCTGGATACACCCCATGACCTAACTGTCTACCAAGTGCCGACAACCGGCAGCAGAGATCCAGTTCTCAGCATCGTAAAGGGCAGTCATCCTGTCCGAGTCGCTCGGCCATGCTGTGACAGCCTTGAGCGCCTCGGCAGCTTTAGTTGTCGGCAAAGGAATGTGGATCGGGCTTGGGTTGATTTTTAGGGTTAAGGTTCTTGCGGTTGGGCTTTGAACGGCAGTCTAGCTGCTGTAACCTGGCTGTCACAGGACTCCCCTGCCCGCGGACAACATGGCGGGTCTGTCACCTGCCATCACGGGCGCAGGGACACGTTCTGGAGACCTCAACCAGCGAAAAAACGCATTTGAAAACATCTGGCCGGAAATCAAACACGTCTGTATGCAACACAGACGCCTAAGGAACTCCGTACAAACAGACCACAGCTCCCATGTACAACCAACGTCAAGCTCCCAATAGTAACGAAGTCCGAAACAGTTCGGCAGGACTGAAGTCAACCTGGTTAGACCGTAGCATGGGTCAGACCTTGTCCTAGCAGCCATGCTTGCATCGCACCTTTGATACATTCTGTTCTATGTTGATTCCCTGCCTGCTGATTCCGGCCATGCTGACCCTGCAGGGCCCAAGCCATCACCTTCTGGATGCACGGCTCGGAGTGTTTCAACTGGTGCATCTCATCCCTGTCGAAGTTGAGATGCGCAGCGTAGATTGTGCAGGGAAGCTCGCGATTCGCTATAGACTCCCACTCCTTGCTTGCAGTTTCTTCCCAGTTTGACATCTCATACATGTCCTGGATTGGAAGCGATAAGTCACCCGAAGCAGAAAGCAAGCTGCGAGTAACTCCAAGGTTCTGCTTCCAGATGCTGCAATGTCATTTGCGCGGCATCACGAGCATCTGCCACTGCATTCCTGCACATGGAGGCACATGGATTCAGGGCCAATAGGAGGAGAAGCCACGCAGTTCAATGCACACACGACGCGTGCGGATCAGGGCGACTTGATGCAAGTTGGGCTGACTCGGTACAGCACAGCTAGGCCTAAACCGTAAATGCTAAACCCGACGTCTCTAAAGCACTCAAGCGCTGAATGCGAAAGGCACAAAGCCAAGGACAGGCTGCTCAGGCGTTCGGGAATTTGGGGCCCCGGGTGATGAACGCGAGGTGCAGGCTTGCGATATCGTATAAGTGTTGGTCTGGTTCAGGAGCTTCGGAAGTTGCAGAACAAACATAGAGCTTAGGACCGGCTTAGGACAATTTAATATCCTTATTATAGATCCCAAAAGGACCCCTAATTGCCCCCAATTGTCAACATTAAAACCGGTAGAGCGCTAGACCCCCAAACCCTACACTTTACACCTCTGAACCCTAAACCCTAAACCCCTAAGCCCAAACCCCAAACCCCCAAACCCTAAACCCTAAACCCCTAAACCCCTGAACCCCTAAACCCCTAAACTCCCTAGATCCTAAACCCTCAACCCCTGAACCCTACACCTCTACACCCCTAAACCCCTGAACCCCTCTCTAGGTCTTTAAAGCCCCAAACAATTCTTAAGACAACTTTGAGCACAAACCCCATGCACACCAAGATTCCCCTAAACCCTAAACCCTAAACCCTAAACCCTAAACCCTAAACCCTAAACCCTAAACCCTAAACCCTAAAACCCCCAAACAAACCTAAGCACCCAGCTCCGGCCTCGCCGAGGTCTCCAGATTCTGAGGTGCCGACGCCTTCTCCACGGCCGCCTCCCACATGCTGTAAGCATGGCTTTGGGTTTAGGGAGTTTAGGGTTTAGGGGTTTAGGGGTTTAGGGGTTTAGGGGTTTAGGGGTTTAGGGGTTTAGGGGTTTAGGGGTTTAGGGTTGAGGGGTCTGGGGGTTGAGGGGTTTAGGGTTTAGGGGTTGAGGACCCCGGGTTCAGGGTTGAGGGTGGGTTTTGGGGTCTGGGGTTCAGGGTGGGGTGGAAGCAGGAAAAGGAGAAGACACGATGTAGAAGGATTTCACGCAATACAGATAATCTGACATGGGTAGGCATTGTGGTGTGTATATGTACAGCACGATGCTTGATAACACAAAAAGCGACATCGTCACAGAGCATTCCATGGCTCAAGTTTTGTTGAGTTGCGGTGTCGACATCCCCACTAAACATAGGCAGGGCCTAGGGACAGAGGCATTTTTTCGTGCGGGCATTGAAGGGAGAAGGATCTTGGAAGCTGATGGGATCTGATGTCCCCGGCCTCGAGCTCCAGAGCTTGCAGAACCAACTTCCGAGCTGCTTCCAACTGCGCAGACGCATCCGGAGCGTCCCTCGAACCGGTCATCTCCACATGCCGGAGGGCACGGAAAGAAATCTGCAAAAGCATCGTCCTGACTGGCAGAGCCATGCCGAGACCACTCGAAGTCTCTGTGCTCGACGTCTAATCACTAAAGCAGCTGCTACAGGAAGGTGGAGTAGGTTTCAAACACAGCAGACAGTCTCCAACCCTAGGCCCTAGAAACTCTACAGCCACTCCCCAACCTAAGCAGTTTGGCTTTAGGCTGTCTTAGAAGCCAAAACTCTTGAATGTGAGCTCCCCGATTTCTGGTGTCGAGGCGGTTCGGCAGCACCTTAGCTCTTCCGGATTCTTGGGTGGAGGAGTTTCAGGGTGTCGGGCTTCAGGAGTTTTAGAGTTTCTGGTCTAGAGCATTGGGAATTATTTCAGGTTTTTAGGAGTTCTCTGGGCCAGGGCCAGGGCTGGTTCCAGCTTCTGCAGAAGAGTGCCAGGTCGCCTGGCGTGTAACAAGAGAGACTGCAAAACACCATCAGCATCATCATCTTCATCATCATCATCATCTCCATCATCATCACCATCATCATCGTCCTCTTAGTCGTCATCACCATCGAGCAACCCAGAAATCAAACAAGGAAAACAACACCTGAAGGAACGAACGATCTCGCAACGAAAGCTGACCAACAAAAGCAAACAATGGAAATCGCTAGAGACAACAGCCCAGATGCTCCAGGTGCAGGGCGGTCCTTGCAGCAGTCTCCACAAGTCACAACCATAAAACAAATTAAAGCTTTTTCCCTGTCTCGCATCCCGTCATCCGACACCCACCCACACGACGGCTGGCGGCGTATGGCTATGCTTGTGTACTTGTCAGCCCTCCTCTGCCTGGGCCGTCACAGCCCTAGCGGTCTTTGCCTGGATAGATGCTGAAACAAACGTCGGCGCCCAAACTGAAGCCATGAAAACCGCCACTGCCCTCCTTAGGTTCCGTTCCTCCATGCCCTGTTCGCAAACTCCAAGACCTCCAACATTGCTTCGACCAATCCATACCTGCTGCCTAGAGAAGCTTCTTCTGCGCGTGACTTAGGAGTTTTGCTCTGTATTGTTGCACAAACCCTTTTGCTGCAACTCCTGGATTTCTCCAGAAACAGCATGCACGCACACGGTTTGCAATCTTGCTGAGTGCCAGCAAAGCAAGCTTCTCTACATTTCTCTACTTCCTGCTGCTAAACTGCACCATGGGCACATACCTTAAATCCAAAGTCTTCAGACACATTCGCCCCAAGCCCAGAATTCCTTTGGCCCACAAAACCAACCCCAAAACCTTGCGGCCGTCAGTTTAAAATCCGACACCCTCAACCCAAACCCGAAGTCCTGAAAGCCGCCCAAGCTGGCGAAGAGCGCCAGGGCGCGCCGCCCGGCTGGTGCCGCACTTCATCGAAGACCTGAAGCGCCGTTGCTTAGGGTGAAGGGTTTAGGGTCTGGGGTTTAGGGTTAAGGGTTTTAGGGTCTAGGGTTTTAGGGTTTAGGGGGTGAGGGTTTAGGGTTTAGGGTTGAAGCATGTTGAAGCTTCGCTACCTCCCTCGACTACCACATTCAGTTCTATCACTATCACAGGCACGTGTCGTTTGAGCTTCAGGGGAAAAATGAGTTTGGAAGTGCATCCGGCTTACGTGCATGTCCATCGAGCCCAAGAAATGCCTCGAAGTTCCGAAACCCAAAAACCGAAAACCATCGATTATGCCCAAATCGCTCAACCCGCACCCTGGCTCCCAAGCCAGCCCCAAACTCTAGCCGAATGCAGGCTTCCGGCACTGATTTCTTCTGTGAGCCCGACCCGGCGCCTGCTCCCAAACAGCATCACCCTCAGCAAGTACCACGGTCTCGCCTTCAGAGCTAATATCTCAACGTTTTGGGGCTTACGCGGCCTGCTTGGAACAAGATCTCGGGCTTCAGGGCTTGGGGCTCGCCGAGTTGGCAACAAGCTAAGACTAATACTGTTGGTACTCAGAAACTTGTAACGAGTGAAATTGATCATGATTTTGTACTGATGAGAGCCCCAATAAGAAGAAGATAGCCGTGACCTAGCGGTCATCGTCATCATCATTCATACGCTGGCTCGAAACCATAGCAGCAGCAAGTAGCAATGGAAATAACGCTGAATCCCAGACCCAACACCCCAGAACCCCAACTATCATGACAACTCACAACCTTAAAACCTTTCAAAACAACATGTTGAGCCCTTTGGTACCCGATCCGGGCCTCCAGAGGCCGGCAGCAAGTAGTCCAAGACGTACGTGGGAGAGTTGGGTTCCCAAGTCCTAAGCAAATTCTCTCAAGGTTTAGGATTTCGGGTGTCGGGTTTAGGGTTTACTGTTGGGCGTCTAGGATTTGAGGTTTAGTGCTTTGGGTTTGGAGATAGCCCTGTTTCTCATCAGACAAGCTGGAGACTGTAGACCAACACAATAACAGCACCAGCGATGGCCTTCCACTTGACACCAGTAACCTCACACGTCGTCATCTTATTTGTAGTTGCAGCTTCAGAACTAGAGCAGCAAAACGGTGAACTCCATTTGTCCTGGCACCGTTTGATAGTTGCTGCAGTGGGACTGAGGAGTGGCTAGCAGTGGCAGCCGCTTCCGTGTGATATTCAGGAGCAGCAGCTGCAGCAACAGAAGCAGCAGTGTTCGTAGCAGCAGAACCAGAATAAGAAGGAGAATCGGAGTGGGCGTCGGAACAACAAAGGCAGCACGAACAGTCTTGGTTACTAGATACAGTACTCCTCCGAGCGGCTCCTGAACTTGAGCGTGCTTCTTCTCGGACCTGCGTGCTGCATCTGGGAACTCATAATCCACCAGTTCGCCGACAAGTCGGTAGAAAGCATCATCATCCACCACATGCCACGGCACGTCGGTGGCAACAGCTGGTAGCTGCATCCACACGGCTTCCGTCCGCATGGCTTCTGCCAACGGCAACTGCACACGCCACGCACTCAACCTTGCCACGGTCTCCGACCGGCGCTCGATGTGAAGGATAGCATTCTGTGCCCGAATCCAAAAGGCCGATGCCATGCCTTGTGTAAGGGAGGAAATCGTACGCTGCAAATGCTCATAGCCACATGTATGTAACATGTTGAACACGAACTCCTGCATTCTCACTGTCCATGTGGGAGCAACAGATGCCAACGTCGCGACGACATCTGAGGTGGCTTCCTCCTCTCCGGGCAGGTCTCGCGGGAGAAAGAGGGTGCGGAAGACTGCAGAGCTGAAGGCCTTCCCCAGATCCATGTCCTGCAGCCTATGCGCGACAGACTCCTCAGACTCTTTCTCGGACCGTATGGCCTCGTAAGCCGACTTCATTGCCTGCCAAACTTCCTTCGCTGCCTCGGATGTTTCTGCCGGCACCTGCACGCAACTGGAACTCAGCACGCGAGAAGGGGAGGTCATTCCATGTCAAACACGGAGCCTCATGACCTGTTCCTACTTCAGAGATGACACTGAAAGCTTTCATCCTCAACACGGGTGACGGCTTTTGCTACTATTATTTTCATTACTAAGACTGTTATTGTTATCTGTAGTATTATTAGAACTATTACAATTAATATATTTCAGGCGCCTTCCCAGGACCGCACTCCTGCTTGCGCTGCTCAAAAGCTCTTCCAAGCTCCGCTTCACCTGGGTGGTTGTCAAAATTATGGTTCCTTTTTGGGTCTCTACTATAATACGGCACCTATTATTTAGGGTACCCAAAAAGGGACCTTAATTTTGACAACTACCCACCTGCGTCCTCCGCCACCCCGAGGATCAGCCGGGGTGCTGCACCTGGCAAGCTCGAAGAAGCACATAATTTAGGTACTGCCCCCATACTGTAAGAGTCTATAATAGGGCTACTATTAAGGTCCTAATATATCTATATTATGAATATTATTCAACTATGACTGAGTGGGGGCCGTACCCAACACATAGTGCTTACTGAGAAACATGCCACAAAGTCTGCCATAAGAGAAGACCAACAACCCGACTCCTCGCAATTCAGTGCAAGGCAGGGACTGCTTTGACTTGGCCACAATGATAAAAATAATCATAATTGAATATATAATCATGGTGATAGCTCTAATAATACTACAAATAATGGTCGAAATATTAAGAATGTTCACTAATAATAATAAATAATAGCAATAGTAGTAACAAAACCCGTCACCCGTCTTTGGACAAGCCTTCCAAGCCTTATTCAGCGGCGCATTGTGACCCTTGAGGGCCTATGTGAGCTCATCACGACCTCTTCTTTTTGTAGACTTGTTGTAACTTTACTGTAAACTTGTGCCCTCAATCCAAAACGGCCCTAAACCCAAACTGAGTCTTCGAGTATCCCTCCGCGCCTTTCCTGGGACCTTGGATCCGAGGCCGGGCCCTTGCGAGCTTGTTCCCTGCGGACGGCTGGGTGCTGCTAGGGCGCTTGAAGCCAATGCGCCTGAATCGGTTTAGGGTTTAGGGTTTTTTGGTTTTGTGGGTTTAGGTTTTTTTTGGTTTTATGGGTTTAGGGTTTAGGGTCTTTTGGTTTTATGGGTTTAGGGTTTCGGGTTCAGGGTTTCGGGCTTAGGGTGCAAGGATTAGGGTTTGAAGCCAATGCGCCTGAATCGATCTTTCGGCTTCTGCCAAGAATCTTGGGAGCTCGAAGAGCCGACCTCCGGGGACTCACATGCGGCTTAGAGTTTAGAGGATAATCATAACTACATACTATTACCATGATTATATAATATAACCATAATAATAGACTATAATCATTCGTTTAAATTCTGGCTGAGGGGGATGCCACGTAATTCGACGCATCTCCGAAATTCTGGCACTCCAGCCTCTTGCATGTCTTGATGCATGTGCATCCCTCGAGGAGAAGTCGTCGCTCTCCTACAGATCCACATGAGGTTTACTAGGTTCCTGAGTGGTACCCTTTTGCCCTTTTTGTTTTAAGGTCCCCGTACTAAAAGCGAATAGTAGGAAACCCTTATTATACAGAGCTACCTAGGAACCTAGTTTATCACAGACTGCAAACTACCGCTATGATGGACGAAAATAACACGATCTCAAGCCTGGGTGCTGGAGAAAATCGGGCTGTTGTTCCTGAACATGGGTTTCTGACAGAGTAGGAAAGATCAAACTCCACACCGCCGTCCCTCGAATCTGTGAATCTTTTGCCTGAAAGCCACCTAAACCCGCAGAAGTACGAACCATAAACTCGTCGAGCCGAATCTCTTTATTGGGCTGCAAACTAGAGGCTTCGCTTGTTTGACATCAAAGCAGAAAACTAGACCGAGGTTTTGGGGAGTGCTGCCCGATAAATCGTTACGTCCCAAAGAACAATATTGAGAAGTTCAGGTCCTTAATACTAAGCAATTTGATAACCCCTTTTGAGGTGTGAGCTCGCAGGTTGGGATTCAAGGACTTGGCAATCGGGGCAGTCCTCCAAGCGAGAAATGGAAACTAGAGCCCAATGGCTGCGGCACTATCGTCGTTGAAGTCTTGCACATGCCTACAAAAGCACGCATCAAGCGGTTGGTGGGTTCCACGACATAGACTCCAAGACCTTGCATTCGTACGTGAAAGTACGATTCTCTGCGAAGCTGGCAATGATCCGGCTCAACATCGTCCACAAATTGACATAGGTGCGGATTTTTTCACGGCTGACATCCCGGCTTGCGGCCCCAGGCGCAAAGCTTTATACTGGCTTGGCCTCAAGCTCCACCAGAAACTTTCATGTAATCCAGTCGCGAACGCTTGGTTTCTGCTTCCCGAAACTTCCGAAGCTGCTTTTGCGCAGGTTCCAGAAGAGTTCAACCCCACGGGTCCAAGTTGCCCTATGTGTATTTGCACGGGTTTAGTGTATTTGCACGACATTAGCGTGTGTTTGCGCGGATCTAGTGCGTATTTGCACGGATTTGGCTACTACTAGTACTACTACGATTATTATTACTACTACTGCTGCTGCTGCTACTACTACTACTACTACTACTACTACTATTACAACTACTACTACTACTACAAGCATCTCGGCTGAAGGCCACCCAGGCCAACTGTTCGAAGGTAGGCGTGAGCGAGCGCCATTGGCGGTGGCACAGAAGGTGCCAGGTCGTGCTCTTGGGAAACACACGAATTTCCGACCTGGTTATCTCCCGAGTAAAGGACTGGAGCTCAATGCTCAGACTTTTGCTGCTTGCGTTATGGCGGCTTGGCTCAATGACAAGCCTGATCTACCCACTGAAGCTGAATCCCTCGAGCCCTGGATCCCGAACCATAACAAGATCACTGTGGACTGGGACGCCACCTATGCTCGAGAACTGTTTGACAGGCCCAGACAACGGGCTCAATTCAACACAGCTCTGGGACAGCTTATGCTGGAGACTGCAAGGGATCGAGGAGGCTACATACAAAATCTCAGCTTCTTTAACAATTGGGACATGGTTTGGACGGATGCCGCCCATCCAGGGCGAACGCTGCAGGCTGCCAGGCAGTCGCCGTTCCCACCGAATGAGCAAGAATTATATAAGTGGGTGCGACTGCATTTTCCCAGCTGGCTACAGTGCTTCTGGCCAAAAGGAGAACCACAGCCTCCGAGACAACTGGACCTCCATAGTATGGACTAGAGCCCCACGCCCTAGAACCTCCGAGGGCAGGACTTGTCATGGCCGAACGAGTAGAAGATGGAGATTCCGCTTCACCAACCCAAGGACAAGGCGCCGGAAGTTCCGTAAATTTCTCAAGAACAGGGCGCGCTCTGACTACAGGTCCTGTTGGGGCCTCTTCTGCGGAGACAGGGCTACCTATATGTGCCCCTTGCAAGTCATGCTTCGAGTGTTCTGCAAGACTAGACGTCGGCAGGGAATCTCACTACATGACTGCATGTGGCAGGGCTGGTTTGAGCTACAACGGTGGTTCTCTGAAGATTTGGCTCGAAGGTGTGCCAATCGAGACGGGTACGCAACCGACAGGTCGAGCAACATGTCTGAAGAAGGGGCCAGGGCTCACACTGAGGAGACGGCGACCAACCAGGAGGCCGAGGAGGAGGAGCACTGGGATGTGGAATCGGCCGACATCGATGCTGGCGAGGAAAACCCAGCCGAGGTGGGAACTACCATGCCTACGACACCAGGCGGCACCCCTGAACCGCGAGGGCCTCCACCACCTCAATGTGTGCAGACGGTCAGAGAGATAGCTCTGAAAGCGGCCAGGGCCTTGACACAGGCCTTTGATGAGGAGGGTGCGACGGTCAATGAGATGCTCGTCCTCGTGCCCTTCGACTACAAGTCAATGGGGGAAATGCTTGTTCGAATTGAGCCTCTTCGGGGTGACTTCAGGCTGCACCCCAACATCCTGGTGTCGAACGTCACTGAGGACGAGCCGGACGAGCTGGATGCGGAGACGAACATGGAGAAGCTCCACAGGCTTGCCAAGGAGTCCACCACGGCGGGACGAGAGGATCATCAAGACGATGAAGAAGGAGGGCCGCACCAAGATGACGAATGAGGAGACGTCCCAGATCGGGTCGAATGTGCCCCAAACCCACATGGCTGTTGGGACGGACAAGGCGGCGGGGGACCCGACTCCGGACACCGCGGAGGCTGCCGGGAGTATGAGTGGGTCGTCAACCGGGCCTGGACAGGCCATCGCGGTCTCGCCGCATACCCCGCCGTTGAGGCCGACTTCGAAAGCAATGATCTATGCACCATGGCGACGCAAGAGACAGGCGACTGGGCAGACCGGGCAGACCTCCTACAACGAGCCATCGACGCCGATGAACCGAAAGTACGGTCCTCACTTGTTTCGCCTTCCTTCCATTGTTGATCAAAGTTTTCTTGTTGGGCACTCCCCCCTGAAAACCACTCACTTAGGCAACGCCGCTCTGAGTAAGCTGAGTAGCGATAGAAGAGCCGTCCTGGCCAAACCGGCCATCAATTCTGAGAACGGCAGTGACATATGGGGCCGTGAAGGGCAACGTGCGGGCCTGTCGGACAAAAGAAGCCTACAGTCTGTGAATGGGGCACTGCACTGGACTATTTACAGTGGAATGCTTAAACAGATCTACATTGGCTATCTGCGCAGGTACCATGAGAAGATCCCCCTTGAGACGACGGCGGGTGACTTACAGTACAATTGCTCTGATAAACTTATCCATCATGGGCAAGCCCTGACACGACGCCTCTGCAGGAACAACCTCATTGGCATCGTGGTATTCGTTGTCCAGCAGGCGGTCTGCTTCTTCATGATTTACTGTCTGTGGAAGACCCATGCAGGCCACAAATTTTCGATTAAGCGATCAGGTACGAGTTCTACACTTCGAACAGGACGAGAGATCAGCTGCGCCGGTCCCAAGTCCGGCGGTGTTCACAGGCCATGCTGCTATCACACCAAGTTTATGATGGTGATTCTCTTAGCATGCACCAGATCAACCTTTTCAGTGAACACAGATGCGAGGGTTGACAGTACGTCCACAGTGCTGTCTGGAGCCTCTTCGGGGGCGAAGCTGAGTGGAACACGAGAGGCCAGCATGCCTACTTTATCAGCCACGATTTCCAACATGGCACGCATACAAAAACGCACGTACAGGAGAGCATATGCTCGAGCAGTTCGGCAAGGTGGGGCGACTTATCGAGGCAGCTGGAGAGAGCAATCATGGTTTCAACCTGCAAAAATCACGCCGGTGTATGCTCCCAGACAGAAAACTCCGGCGCATTCCACACGAGAGCTTCTCCGAGTGCTGACCTGGAACGCCGGGGGCCTAAGCAAACAGGTTTTTCAGGAATTGGAAACCTTCGCCAGAGACTCACGGATCGATGTTTTCTACATCCAAGAGACCAAATGGTCCGAGGATGGGAACTGGAGCAACAAGGAATTTCACTACATACATTCTGCGGGAGGTAAGGCGGACAAGGCAGGAGGCTTACTCCCCATGGTGTCAACCAGATTGGCCAAGAGTACTGACATTCAGTACCTCGCGGTCCATCCAGGCCGTCTGCTACATGTTCGGGTCAACCGAGGTCGGGCTCCCATAGACCTGGTGAATGTATACCAACATGTTGCTACGGACAGGAAAGAGACACTCGAGCGACGACAAGCACTTCTGCACAAACTGCAGCGCTGTCTGGCAGGCCTGCCACGTCGAAACACCTTAGTCATGGCAGGAGACATGAATACCACATGCACTCAGATGCCCAGAGTCTGCGGGGACAACATCCTACCAGTGGGGACCTATCACAAGGCGGACTACACGGACTTTATGCACATTTGTGAAGCCATGTCTCTTTGTGTTCTGAACACATGGTGCTCCTCGCAGGGTTCTCAAAAGGCCACTTTTATGTTCGGCCAGCTTAGCTCCCAAATTGACTACATCATCACCAGGCAGTCTACAGCTACAACCGATGCGAAGAAGGCAGGAACCCAAACTGATTTCCCAGTTGCGTGCTGGAGAGATGGAGCCAGGCATTTTCCAGTCACGGCCGAAATACCGATATCGTCCCACTCCTGGCACAACCATCAACAACAGCCCCGAGCTCAAATTGATACTGCCCAGATCATTCATGACCTCCAACAGCGGGAGGCACCTCAGCTACTACAACGGTTCAGGAAGGAGGTCGTGGATAAAGTCACCCCTGATATTGAGTCAATCGAACGTGTGGTGCTGCAGGCTGCACAGACCTGCTACCCCAAGAAGGAGAAAACTACCGCTACACCAACCCAGCCGGAAGAGCTGGCCAAGAGCGCTAGGCACATGTGGCAACTACACCGTCAAATGCGCAGCCAAAGATTCACTGCCCAGGGAATCCTGCATGCCTGGAGACTATGGGTCCAGTTCTCGAGGGCGCACTCCATTCACAAGACCCGTTCACAA